CTTCGCCGAAGAACAATAGAATTTCATCTGGTTTATATATGTGCGACTAAAAATGCCATTTAATGTTGTTAAATAATATAAATCCCGGTGTTTTGAAGAGTAGGTAGAGAACTTGTTTACATAAGTTAAAAGACTGTACTCGTGACTACTCTTACGAATGGAATCGACTTAACGTAGATCTTGTGATAAGGAACACGTCACGAATAAAGTATGAAATCTTATTCACGCAGCTGTTGGAACTAGGATAATTATTATTCTAAATCATGTGAGTTGACTTTTTTCGATGGATTCTTTTATGGATATATTTTCAGAATAATTATAAAAATCACATTTCCCTTCTAAATATTACCTTCGTGTTGAATATTGTTGTCTTCTGCCCCTCCATTTGAATTGTGCATTTAGATCCGAGCTCTAATTCCCTATGAACAGACATTGAGGCAGGAAAAGCAATAAGTATCTCATATTCAAGAACAGTTACATCGAAATAAAAGTGAAATAATACAAAATTAAAGAGTAATTGGGCAATTCACCTGTTGTTTAACGGACGAGCACGGACTGCCACTTTCAATGAAGCCATTTTGGTCCACGGCCACGAATTTCGCTTTCTCTGTCAATTACTCTGGAGCTCCAAAAATTGACACAAATAAAAACAAACCAGGTATTAATAGGGTACCATTGTCACTGAATGAGCTTTGAAAGGTTCTCTCCTGTTCCAAACAGCAGTATTTTCACTCCAAAGTGCTCGTTCAACTGTGAAACATAATTTCTCGTGGCTTGAGGTCGCTGCCTTTTCGCTGACCGTCCACTTAACCGCTGGCTGTAGATGTCGTGCTGCGTACACCTTTAGAACGACATCACGCACAAGTGGAACACAGGAAGTCCTTTTCCTTAGTAAAACCGTCCTTTAAAAACATGAAATTTTCAAAAAAAATAATGGTCTGACGAGCATGAAAAATTGGTGCTCGTCGGCAGAAAAAGTTGCGCCGCTACAAATGGCGTTACATCTATAGAACAGAAATGGGCGATTTCGCGGATTTCCGAGGAACGCTAAATTCCGTAAAGAATGCAAGGAAACACTGAACTTACTTCCTGTGATAAATTTGTGCAAAATTCAACTTGAAATCGAACCTTGGTAGCACCAGATGATCGAGTGCTTCTCGATCACCAGTCACAAAATATTTATTCGCGGCTATTTCCTTGACTAATGAGAGCCGAGTTGATATTCTACCTAGCCAATCAGAGGTGTTCTTTAGTCGAGATTGAATTCATAAAGGAAAGCCCGCCAATTTTTGCTGCAAATTTCATTTTTCCAGAAATTCGAGAGAATTCTGACCTATCGCAATTCTTCATTTGAATTGTTTTGTTAGAGGATGGTGTTTTCGGTAGAAATTTGAAAATTTGAACGTTATTTTAGAATAAAAATTGGTGCTGCCGCTTTAAGTCAGAAAAGTGTTGACGTGTTAAGAAATGAAAAATCAAAATTTTCTTTCAAAATCTTCTGCCTTGGATTTAGATCTGAATTTTTCTTAGATCTTTGTTTACGAAATTCGCTACCCAAGTGATAGGTCTAGTTAACACTTGTCTAGTCAAGTCTAGAAGCTGTGTCACATCTATTTGCATCGAAACAAATAATATGAATTGATTTTGAATACGGAAATAGTCTGTCGGAAGAACATTACAGGAACCTTCGAACATAGATGGGATCGCCTTGACATCTAAAAATCTTATTTTTTTGCTTCTGAAGACAAGAATTCGACGTAGAGAATGATGGATGCGAAAACTTCCCTTATTTTCTCAGCTGTTTTCTTTATTTCTTTGAATAAATTAAAAAAATATTGGCCGTCAAGAAAATATTCAGAGTCAAGTGCCTTCTAAAGACCTAATTTACATTGTGTTGTTTTTCGTGTAAAATCCCTTCCAAAAGACAATAAGATTAGCGGGGCAGACTTTGATCTCTGTGAAGCTATCACAAATCCTGTGCCACGTGATGACAATTCAGTGGTAATTTTATATATAAGTTATATTTATATTTTTAAAATCTTAAAATTATGTAATTCATCATCAGAGGCAAACAAAAATTAAGGCATTTTTAGAATACGTCTGGAAAGTTGGCCTGGACCCTTAAGACTGAACCTCAGATGATTTCCCTGCTAAGGTCAAATATATTATGACGGCATGATTGGCGAATCTTCTTAAAAAATCCTTGGGTGCCAGTTCAAAAACAAATAATTTCTGTAGTCTGATTACTGTCAACAGTTAGCTTCCTTTTCTTGCAGGCACTTTAGAAATTTGATCCAGTGTTCTGAACTTTCGCTTCCCTGTCGAGGGATGCTTTGAATTTTGAGGAACTATATTGCTACTAGCTGCTGGTGACACTAAACGAGCACTGTTTATCTTCTAAGGTCGCAGCTTGAGGTGAGCTGGTACTTAGTTCTAATTGGCGATTTGTAATTGGTTGATATGTAACACATGACCGTAGCGCGCCATTTTTAGTCCAGCAAAATCAAAATGGCAGTCTTGAAGAACATAAATCTTGTGTGTTCCGCTTGTTTCATTTTGTCGCCAAAATGTAGCGTTTAAAGAGGATCGAGTTGCGGTATTCCTTTCGTAAGGTTATAGAATGCGGAATGAAAAATTCCAAAGTGGGTCAAGCTACGTTGTTCCAGAGTTGGGGACGACCAGCTCAATCTATCTCGTCGAGAAGTACAAATTCGAATAAGCCCGAAGCAAACAAAAGTCAAGCCCATCACGACGCTGTAGATTTGATAGAGTTGGGAGATGATGATGACGATGAAGAATTGCTGGCTGCTGCAGAAGGAATGTTTCCTTTCGACAACGTTACGTTTGAAGCTAAATACTGTGGGGACCAGGAAGTGAACGGCAATAACATCACCGAGAAATCCGACGAAGTTGAAATGATCCCTGGTTTTGATGTCGAAGCTGGAAACGTTTGGATTTACCCGACAAATTATCCTATAAGGAATTATCAGTTCGATATTGTTGAGAAAGCTCTTTTTAAGAACACTTTAGTTACTCTGCCAACCGGATTGGGAAAGACTTTCATTGCTGCTGTTATAATGTACAACTTCTATCGATGGTACCCACAAGGAAAGGTTATATTCATGGCTCCCACTAAACCACTGGTTGCACAACAGATTGAAGCTTGCTTTAAAATCATGGGTATTCCGCAGAGTGACACAGCGGAAATGACCGGTGAGGTTTGACCTTTTCCTGTCTTGACATCACTTATGGGTTAATTTATTATAAAAATAAATTTTAATTGATAAGGTGCATGGGTAAGAGTACCATAGAACCCCTACATTAATTATGCATTCAGACTAGTAGACTTTGTTTTTAAAGTTTTGTCGTGAAAGACAAAGAAGTGGAATCCATAATTAATGTATGTGGTTCTATGGTACTCTTTCCGGTACATGTATTATGAACTGGTTTATTTTTGGCTAGCTCAGAAAATAAGCTTTGAGTCTTAGGCTCTCTAGTTTTTTAATTTTATGTAACCTTTTCAGGAAACATGACTCCTAATAAACGGCAGTCCTTGTGGAAGACGAGAAGAGTCTTCTTTCTAACTCCACAAGTTGTGCAAAATGATTTGATTCGTGGATCTTGCAAAGCAGAAGAAGTTGTCCTGCTTGTTGCCGATGAAGCTCACAAAGCTCTTGGAAATCATGCTTACTGTCAGGTAAGGAAACTATAGAACATGATTACCCGATTTAGTTCACTCTACATGGACAAGCACATGAAAATGTGGCCGCTTTCAAAGTGGAAGGGATAATATCTTTGCCAACACTAGTGTTACTAGGATGCTGATACACTGACTTTATATCCTTCAGTCTCTTTTGGTGTTTTCTAAATGATGTAGGAGAAGGCCTAAATATGACATTGTGCTCTTGTGGTGAGTAAGTTGAATTATGTTCCATCCAGGTTGTAAAAGAAATCTCTGGCTATAACAGGAATTTTAGAGTTCTTGCTCTCAGTGCAACACCTGGAGATGATCTAGAGGTAATAATAAAAATCAGTGAAAACTGCATTTATGTTGTAAGCTTAAATTTGTGAACTATGAAAGAAATAGTCTTTCTTATTTGCAGGCCTGTACATTGTAACAGTTCAGTTTCAGTTTGGTGATGGTTTTACAATGATGTCTCACCCATCCCTAATCACAGCATTTTCCTCCTTTTCACCAAATAATTAAAGCTACATTGATACGTGCAGCTCAACAATTTTAGTCCAGAACAGAATAGAATTTTCATGATGACTGTTTTTAGGCAAGAAGATGAACTGGTGCTTAAGAATTTCAAGTTACATTCGATCTAGTTGTTATAAATACTAGAAATAAATAAATAATGGACTTATATAGCTCCATATCCAACTGCTCTATGGCGCTTTACAATACTGAGTTAAAAAGATAATGACTACAATTGATTAAAGACAAAATAATTAAGACAAACAATCACATTAAATCACGAAATATTTGAAAAAAAAGCTTTTTTAAAAAGGTAAGTCTTCAGACATTTCTTAAAAGCAGCCAAAGAAAAACCCAGCTGTCTCATATGAATGGGCAGAGCATTCTAATCCTTAAAGCTACTTGTCTTAAACTGCTTCTCTTCTAATTTTTCTTACTCTGACGGTAGGCTGTCCAACAAGTCATCACTAACCTCTTGATTTCGCACATGGAGCTGCGCTCTGAAGAGTCCCCTGATATTCAGCCTTATACACACAGCCGGCAGGTAGAAAAAGTGGTTGTCTCACTTGGGGAAGATATTGCTAAAGTTAAGAGTTCATATCTTAAGGTACATTTGGATTCTTCCTTAGTTAATGATGCCCATGTCAATAAATTGTTGTGATGAGATCTACTGTTTAGAGAGGAACTAACTTGCTCATCTCTGATGTCTTTGCCAGTCATGCCACAGCAAAATGCTAGCCTGCTTGCAGGTTGGATGAAATCTTGATGTCTTATATCTTGGGAAGGAGTGACAACGTTTTTTTTTTTTCCTTGCTATCCATGCATTTTCACTCACCCACACTAACTGGCTGCCTAGATAAGAAGAGGTCATGGTTCATACAGAATTCAGAAAATTTTTTACAGATCTAGGACTTTGTTGTTACAGGGTCTGAGGGCAACAGGTGATTAACTTTTGTCTCGTGGCAGCCTGTGAGACTTTGCTTTTATGAAAGCTGTTAAGCACTGGGTATGTTAGATTTCTTAGACAAGAGCCATAAGATGCCTGGTGATTCTTTCTGAGGCACAGCTTCAGATTTAAGCTGCCCTTTGGGCCCTTCGCTGATACAGTTATTTTCCTCTTGTCCCCCTTGAAATGTACAAATTTCAGGTTGTTGTAGAATTCTTTCTTAGAACTTCAATATCTGATCAGCAATTGTAGCTTTCAACTGCTATACGTTTTCTTTTGATTTATTCACAATGCATGTACTTTGACTTAATGAACTTTAACTTATTTGTTTAATTTCAAGGTATTACCCTCTGCCCTAATCAATTATTTGCAGTATGAAGAAATGTGATGATTTTATAACTTCTTGGAGTTGAATGAGTTAAATTGTAAACTAAATACCTTTTGTTTTTACAGATCCTAGAAGCCATTGTGGGCCGTCTGTTTTGTCAACGAGTGCTGTGGAACAAAGATCCTCAGCGTGTCACTAAATTCATGCTGTTGACTGCAAGAGATCAGTTCAGAAAGAGAATGAATGAACAAGGCGGATATGTAGGAAAACTTTTTTATTTTAGTCTAGATTAGCCTAGAACCGAGTCTTAAAACCTAGCATTTCGATATGACTGGGTTAAAAAATTCAAAGCTGTGCATAATACTGGTGGCAAGCGAAGCTTTGTAATAATTTAGTATATATTTATCTGTTTATTTATTTATTAATGTACCTTTTCAAGGATCGCAATCGACTGGGACAAATTGAAGGGGACTTTGCCATGTGCATCAGCCTGTACCACGCGTATGAGCTCCTACTCCAGCATGGCATATTGTCATTCTACAACTTCATTAAAGCCATCATTGACGGAACCAGAGGAATGGCGCGCGCCAAGGCTGAAATCATCAAACACAACGAGTTTACACACCTGATGGATGAATTACGAGAGGAAATTGAACCTCCGATGGAAAACAGTGCGAATGACAGCCTCCTTTTTTCGCAGTTTTCACCAAGAAGTCGCGCGCTCATGAATGTTCGAAAACCGAGCACTACATTTAAGAGTCACCCCAAGCTCTTCAAACTTAAAGAAATCGTGCTTGAACACTTTGAGAAGTTCCAGGGAGAGAGCGACGAGAACTCGACGGGCGTAGCTACTCGTGTGATGATATTTTCGCAGTACAGAGACAGTGTGAACGAGATAGCGGCCTTGCTATCTTCTCATAAGCCTCTGGTGCGAGTGATGAGTTTTATTGGACAGCAAACAACTGGAAAGAGTATCAGAGGACTTTCACAGAAAGAACAGTTGCAGGTATTCCGTCAATTATACTGTACTTGGAACTAACCAGGACATCTACATCTGTTCAGTGCGCTGGACTCTGGGTCAGATGGCCCGGGTTCAAGTCCTGGCTGGGGCTTGACGTTGTGTCCTTAAGCAACACGCTTCACTCACATTGCTTCGTCTTCTCGGATAGGACGTAAAGCCGGAGNTTTATCTATATTATTATTATTACATCAAAGACATCTAGGCGTATTTTGCTTTTCACTCACTTTTTTTTTCACAATTTTTCAGCACTAACTGAAAGATGTGTTTGTTGTCCAATTTGGTTAATTTACCAGCATTCTATTATGTCCCTAGGTTGTACAACGGTTTCGTCAAGGAGGGTACAATACATTGGTAGCCACGTGCGTTGGCGAGGAGGGACTGGACATAGGCGAGGTCGACCTCATTGTGTGTTTTGATGCGCATGCGTCGCCCATACGCCTCGTGCAGAGAATGGGGCGAACAGGAAGGAAAAGAGACGGTCGGATAGTTGTTCTCGTGACTGAGGGCAAAGAGGAACAGGTGCCGGCGAAATAGATACAGCTTTTGTATCCGTGGTCTACATATGATCGCAGGGATTTACCTTTACTACTCAGATAATGACCACTCAGATCAATGGGGAAAACAGAAAGAGGATCTAATTAACGGACCGTGTGCTAAATACTCCTCAGTAATGGAAATCCCTCTCATTGTGTTTACTGATCGTTATTATAGCAAGCATAGTACTCCGAAACCCCCGTAATTCTAAATCGAAAATCAAAGGTTCGTCTCCTTCCATTTTGAACGTGTCACATGGGTGGGTAGCCAATGACACACATTTTTTTCTCAGGTTTCGTAGATTTTTAGAGAACTCTGAACCTTTTCCTTTTTTCATAAAGCCAGGTTTCCAATGGGATTGTCCGTGTGGACAGTAGGAATCTGAGGTACTAGTTATCAAGTTGTCGGAGCTGATGCGGATAAGCTGTCATTGCAAATTGTGATCTTCGTTTATTCCTCTCCAGTACTCGCTTAAAAATCTAATCGACTTACCTTTCATACCACTACAATAACTCAGGAGCGTTGTAAGTGTTACCGTTTTAATAATGTACCTTCTTTTTCCTTGGTCAGGTTTACATGAAAAGTCAAAGAAGTAAAAAGTCTATTCACAAAGCTGTCGCCCAGGCTACGAAATCATTTGATCTCTACTCGGACAATCCCCGGATGGTGCCACAGCATATTGTTCCGTCTGTGCTGAAAATGGAGATGACTGTTGGGAAGTTTATAGGTCAGAGGTATGGTGGAAACCTCCTTTTATGTGCTAAAGTAACCTTTACGGGTAATTTCTTTTCACCGCTTTTCCAATGAGTTCTCTTGAACGGTTTGTGGGGTAGGTCTGTCGATCAGTCGCTCAAGTCCGCCTCTACAGTCTTTATGTAATTTGGTTTTTATTAACTGAATTGATAGTGTAAACTGGCCCATGTTATCCTTACGTCAGACACACAACCCACAACTCCTCCATTCGCTGTGACAAAGGGCTGACGCTCGAAACGTCACGGCTTTCAAACTCTTTACGGTTGCCAATTAATATTATCAACTCAGTTGATAAAACCAAAACTACTTTGTTACTCCCACCGACGCAGCACCACAGTTTCTTTAGAGACTTACCCCCTTTATTCTACAGCCTTAGTCAGACAGTCGGTCTATCGGGCAGTCGGTCGATTGAGCAATCAAACAGATAGTCACCGAGTAGTCAGTCAGTCAGCCAATCAGTTAATCAGTCAGACAGACAGTCAGTCAGGCAGCCAGCCAGTGAATGCTTCAGTGAGTCAGTGAGTTGCGATTGACCAATGAGTCTCTCAGTGGGTCTGTTTGTCTTCTATCTGACTATCGTTGAATCGGTTGGTTTTTTATCTATTTTACGGATAGAATATCGTGTCCGAAATAGGTCTAAATATTTTGCACGACATTTTATTTCCTTTACAGCAAAGGGAGAAAGAAGGGAAGGCCTGCAGAAGGAGCTGACATCAAAAAATTCACATCTAAAACAGGAACAACCACATCAAAGAAAGACAACGGTCTCCTGACATACGAGCAATTAGTTTACTGGCAAGAACACTTTCAACTTCCTAACCACGAGGCTGGCTTGTCACCACAACTAGCAATTACTAAAAAATCGAAGCGTTCATCGGCAGGGAGTAGAAAATCTATCATACAACCCTCTTTGACGGAGTGGCTTCCTTGGCAGACCACACTGCAGCCCGTGAAAGCCGTTGCGCATTCCCGACGCACAGAACATTTTGTTGAACTGTTGGAATTCACTGAGCTTCATGGTGGCGGAGGAGTTGACGATGAAAGCTATGATCTGGAAATGATGTCGTTTTTGAACGAAGAGGATATCATAAAACCGGGGCAAAAAGATGGCGGTGACAAGATAAGTGTTTTGCCTGAGAATGGTGGTACTGTTTGCGAGGAAAGCGAAGGCAGGAGTAAGGTCACCGAGAAGAAAGGCAAGAAGACGCGAAAAAAGCTTGAAATGGAAGATGGACCTGATTTGCAAGTTGGTGGAAAGCATCAGAACAAAGGAGAGAATTCAGTTGGTGATACTAGTGCAAAGAACTCGAAGATCAGTGGCACAAAGTTGAAGAAGCTCTCACCGAAAAACAAAGCTCGTTGGAAGGCGTTTCTGAAGCAGTTTGATGACCAAGTAGATGAAGATTTCCAAACGGATGGCATGAATGTGGCTTTAGGGGAAGACGAAGACAACGAAGCTAGCAATTGTCTCCAAGTACAAGCTGGTTATACACTGATGGGGGATTTGCCTGATGTGGGAGAACATTGGGAACTTGACAAAAATCCTTCAGAAGCTAATCATGAGGGAGAAAGCGTCGGCGACAAGAAAGAACTAGAAAAAATGGAAGATATTCGAGATGGTGAAGGCAGTGACCTCTCCGATGCAGCCTCTGATGAAATGACGAGTGTTTTTCCCAGTGTAACTCCCCAGTCACAAGAAATCAGGCCCCGTTTTCTTCCTCAGAAAAAGAAATTTTCACCCACAGTCGACGTCGTGCCATCGCCACCCAACTTAGACGCTTTAGACAAAATGAGTTTGTCGTCTGAGAGCTCAGAATTGAATGACTTTAACAACGACATGGAGGAGATCCAGAGAAAATATTTTGGAAACCTGCGCCGTTCAGGAGCTGATTTGTCGAGAGTTTGTGCGGAAAATGACCCTCTGGAGGAACCATTTCTTATGGCTGATTTTCTTGACACGGAGGTTGTCGAAAGTAAGGCCGTGAAAAATGGTGGCGAAGAGGAGAAAGCTTTTGTAACCTTATTTCCCAACACAAATAAACCTTACACTGATCAGGCTATCCAGCAAAAAATGCATAATTTGATTTGTGCAAACCCAAATTCCAGACATGACACAGACATGGTTGAAGAGCAAGATGKAGTTGCTGCGAAGAAAAAGATTTACACACGGAAGGTCTCAATGAGCGCGCGCGGAATCTTGAAAAGTTCTTCGTCAGACTTGTGGAGTAACGTATCAGAAAAAGGAGCAAATGATTCTGACAAAGAGGAGACAGAGTATGCTGAAGATTTTTTCATGGACGCGGCAGATGATGATGTCCTCACAGATAAAACGCTACCTACAGATGGAAACGTTCATGAAAAGTGCGCCAAAGATGTCAAAAAGAGGCTTGGGGACGAAGACTTGTCACCGGGAAGTGGACATGCGAGAGAAGAATCGTACAAGAAAGACAACTACGCAGCTAAGAAGTGTGAAGCTACGTTGGGCATTTCGGAGCGCGCTGGTGAACAATTTTGTACGGCAGGTTCTTCAGTTAAGATGAATCATAAAATTTCAAAGTCTAATGGTATTAGCGGCTTACGACATTTTTCGACAAATGAGCGAAATTCTCGAAATGATGGAAGTGAAAATATTTTTCAGGTAGGAATCGAACTGCACGCTTCATCTACTGTTGAAGTTCGTACCAGAGGAGAACGTTCGAGCTCAACTACTCTTCACAGTGGTGCTTTAATCCCAGATATGAGTAGGAATTCTGGCGCAGCCCCGCTCATGGCAACAGAGAGTTTACAAATTGGCAAAGTAGATTTGGGAAATAAGTACCAACCGGTCGATTCTTGGAAAGAGTTACCGTCGTTGGAAATGAATGAAAAATCGCACATGAATGCACTTGGAAGGAAAGTAACGGTTATGAACGAAAGCGGCCCCGTTGGTGACACTGTTGGTGAGAATGATGGGCACAATTTTGGCAGTAATAATGGTGACAGTATTGGTGGCAATACTGCTAATAATCCTTGTAGGTCACCGCTACCCAAGAAGCTAAAGCTCAGCTTGAAACGCACTTCGCCCAAAGACAAAAGAACGCTTCCGATGAAAACAAAAGACAGTGGTTTATCTTTTCACGGGAGGAAATCGTTGAACTTAAATAGCTCAAAAACGCTTAGCCTTATTTCAATGAATGACAATTCCTGCGGAATGAACATAGAGAAACTAGTGGTGAATTCGTCATTAAGGGCCATGGAATGTAGCAGCTCAGAGACCTCAGTGAAACCGTCTTCAAAAACAAGCATGGCTCTCAATGGCTCATCTCTCGACCGCGAGGAACCCTTGGCGAATTCCTCTAATTTACGAACTGAAAACGGAAATGTTGTAGCTGTAATGGAAAGTGATGATGAAGATGAAGATGAAGGAGTCATCCGCCCTGTAGGAAAGGCAATTTTTCGGAGAAAGAAAGCTTTGTCCAGTCCCTGTTCCAAAGAGTTTAGAAAACCGGCCAGTCCTGAGAAAGAGAAAGGCAATCAGCGCGTCGTTTTGTCGTCATGCAATCCACAGCTAGGATCAAACAGCGATGACGAGTTTGAAACCGATAAATCAGGTTAGTTTTTACGGTTTTTTTTTTTGGTTTAACTTCTAAAGAGCTGTTGAGGAGAGGTCTCCTTAGTTCGCTAAATTTTCCGTTCCCTCTCCTCCCCTCCTTTTCTCCAGATGACGTAATTGTTTAGAGATCCGTATATTGTCTCTGATTGGCTACTTTAAAACACACATTTTGGGCTTTAGAATAACCAGTTGGTTCGACATCATTTGAAAGAGAACAGCGCCATTTGCTCTACCAATCTGACTCAGCACCACAGCCAATCGCAGGTCGGTCACTCAGTTTCTACGTACTTAGGGATGGGCCACGTGCCAGCTGTTTGTGATGGGTGCTTTCACCCTCACTCATATAGACGATCATTTTTGCGATTGTCAGAACTAAAACTCGCCAAGCTCTCTTACTGACTTTAACGACTTCATGTTAATATATTTTTATAGCTTATGTTTTAAAGTGAGGCTTTCTTTCTTCAAATCTCTGTTTTAGCTCCAAGCCGACCTGACACTGGAAAAGCACCTTCTGTCACAGTCAGGGCTCGCAAGAGAAATTCTCTTGAAATCGGTGGGAAGCAACGTTCGCGAAAGTCAGTTTCCCCTCTATCAAAGGTCAGTTATTTTCTCCAACAGGTTGTGGTTCTACTTTGAGAAAAGACAGTGTAGTTTTTTTTCTAGTTGTGCCATGCATTCATTTAATCACTCCAAAAATGTTGTCAGGGTTCAGACAACCAAAAGGATAAATTGTCTATTGTTGTACTAATATTTTTGTCTTGTTTATGTGTTCATTCATCTATGTAGTTATGCTTTAATTTACATATTGACACACTCAATAGTTAAGAGTGTTTGCTTTATTTGTTAATTTATGTATTATGGTATTTATCAGTTTTTTTCTCACGTTGCATTATTGTTTCACCATTATCTTTAACCTCCACTAGACCAGAAGGGTAGGGGTTGGACCAAGGGGGTGAGGGTGAGTGGTTTCGTGATATCAAGGGTCTGACATAGGTTGGGTTGGACACTATTGGACTCTACTGTATTAAGATATTAAGATTTTTCTTTTCGGCAGAAAAACAACAGATTTCGGAAAAATCACTACCTAGACGACGAAGCTGAATTATCAGACAGTGACATCAACGACTTCTCGTCCGATGAAGCAGACAACGGAGATGAGGAAGAGGATGAAATGGATAGCTTCATAGATGATGCAACTCAGCTGACTCAAAGAACTCCTTCGGCAGCAAAACAGCGCCTCGCTAGCTCGCCCGTGGACATGATGGCGGTCTATAGACAATCCTTACGAAGTCCTTTTGGCGGCGCCTTAAAATTTCGAACGCCTTTGTTCCATAAGCAAAGAAATAAGTACAAAATGGTCTATAAACGCGGAAATGTTGATGATGACAGCCAATCTGAAGCAGAAGAAACTTACGAATCAGAGAGCGTTCTTGAAAACGAGGTCGAATCGGAGAATGAAAACGAAGTAAGAATGGAGCATGAAACCGAGATTGAAAGTTGTCAGAGGAACGGTCAGGTATGCGCAGACGCGTCTTTCGAGCAGAGCCAAATCGGCCGTCCAGTGAAACTCATGAAGCGAAAACGAATTTTAGATAACAGTATTGACGGAGAAGTTTCACCCAAACTGAGCAAGGTTAATTCGTTGGAGGAGAAACCAAAACCCAATACTACGCAAAAAAGGGTGACAAACCAACAGAGAAGCTGTGCCTTTGGGAAGTTTTCAATCGAGAAAATCGGAAATGGGAAGACATTTCACACTAACTCCATCAAATCGTTTGACGTTGTGGCCGAGAAAATAGAATTTCAAAGGAGCGACTCGTCTCTAAGGCGGCCAGCGGGGGGTAAGGGGAGTATGCGCAAATCTGGGGCGTACGTTGATGACTGGACCAACGATGTTACTGACAATGATTTATTGGTCGCTCTTGACGACAGAGATGTGCGGGCTCCGCAAAGCGCAAAGGCTAAAAAGTAAGTGAACTTTAACTTTCGTGGGAATCCACTTCGAAAAATCCTGTTAGAACCTCTCCTTCTCCGGATTGATTTCCTCCTCTCTCTCTCTTCCCCCCCCCCCCCCCCCTCTCTAATAAGGTATCCTATATTTTGAAACCTTCATCCGTTTTCCTCTATTTTCCAAGTATAAATATGCCTGCAATTACTATTTCAAAACAAATTCATGTTGTTTCATATTGAGGAATCTTTTAAGCGACCAATTTAAAAGTGAAGCCTTGAATGGAGTTGAAGTTGCCATGGATATGACAGATAATGGCGTTGCCATGGATATGACAGATAATGGCGTTGACATGGATATCAAGGAGGTTCCAGATTTTTCACTTGGTTTTGACTTTTTATGGGAAGTGGTTTATGCAAATCGTGGAATTACAGAAAACGGCGACTCGTCAAAAGACAAGTCAGCAATACTCAAGAAAAGTAATGAAATCTCAAAAGATAGCTTCACCAAGATAAAGCAGTTTTCAAACCAGTCCTCAGCAAAATGGTACCAGCTGCCAATTGATCCACAGACGAGGAATAAAGGTTTCGTTGAGGTTGTTCCACGTCCAGCCTCCAAACAATTAGTTGTACCATTGAACGTCACAAACTCGCAAATCTGTAACGACAGAACAGTCACTTCTGGGCAAAGACACACTTTGAAAACTCCTCTTACGCCGCAGAACAAAAGTTTACTGCGTGATGGTGGTCAGCGTCCAGCTGTTAGTACACATGCGAAGTTACAAGTTGTAACCCCTTCATGTCAACCTAATAATGTTGGTCCCAGACCAGCGATTAGCCCTCTACTCACGGTAAGAAATAAACTCCACGTAATTGTTGTATACAGAGATATTTAGTCCGATTTTGTTAAATCGGCGTTGAATCATCCGCAGTGTATACCATCCCCGGCCATCATAAGTTACACGAAGACAGGTTAAAAAAATGTTGCACATATTTTGTTCTCTTTGTTATTAGTCTTCGCAGAAAGACAAGGGAAAAACGGTTATTCTAGTAGACGCTCGGGAAATCTCCAGCTCTCAGGTAAGCAACATCGTCTGATTTCTTTTTTCTTTTCGTGTCGAGAAACCAGCCAAAATTCCTAAATTCAATTTTGCTCTAAAAAAAATCTGCCATTCCTTCCTCCCCCTTTAATGAAAAAAGTAGCACGATCTCTCGCGGTAACGTTGTTGATGGTCTCATCCTATATGTTTTAACATGTGATAATTTTCTTTGGGAAATTATGGCTTAGCGAAGGATTTTGCAGTAAGATGCAACCATGATAAGTGTTTTAGCGCAGAACAGTTTCATTTGGTGTGGCAGTTAGTCTTAGCTTTCCTGTCCAGTGTATCAAGATGCCCAATTGTGAGCCTCTTTTTTTGTCTTGTGCACGTGACGACTTAGAATTTGTTTCTCTAATTCGCACAACAATAACACTACACAATGGACAGATTTAATTCATGGTCTTCGTCCCCTCCCCCCTCAGGTGGTGTCAACTTTACGCCTAAAGCACAACATCAAGGCGGAAGTGTGTCGGCTGACCAGTTGTGATTATATTGTCAGTAACAGGATGGCTGTAAAGAGGAAAACAGCTTCTGGTATGTTAAGGGAAACTCTTCCTAGACTCTTACGAATGTGTTCATTTCATCAGCACGTTGTATAAGTTTAGTCACTATGGCTATGAAATGTTTATCATACTTGAACATCAATCTTAAAGTTTATCTATTGTGACTGGTTAAGAAATCACACAACGTATTCTCCGTTTATCTTTATGATGTTGTTTGATAACACACAAAACAGGTGTGAGATGAAGAACACATCCGTCAGCAAAAGATGTTGACGTCTAAAGCGTCATACGATTCATGAGTTTTTTGATCTTCTAAACCAATCACGGGTCTAGTAACCGCACGGTGAAATTGAGTGGTACACAGGGGCTCTTTCGCCGCCCAAAATAAGCTGAGTAGAGGGGGTCTCGACAAATTGCCATACAAAAACCCCATTGTGATCACATCAGCCAATCAGCTTGAAGACAAATATCACAAACAAACCTATATGTCGTCCTCATAGTAAAAACACAGGACCGGCTGCCTCGGGTGCTGGAAAACGCGAGTTACAGAGGTTGGTTATAGCGATTGGTTTAAGCTAAATTGTAATTGAATGATAAGGGACTGATTAACTATCGTTGTTTGTACCTTAAACTTTTCTGTTCAGATGTTGCAAGTGGAGCAAACAGTCAGAAGCTTGTGGAGTGCATACGCAGAATGTGTGATCTGTATGACAGGCCTTGCTTGATTATTGAGAAAGACCGCGTGAAACCTGGAGAAACAGAGAAAAACTTGTGAGTAAAACAATCTCTTTACCCACACCTAAGCGAACACTCAGTATTTTCAGAACAACTGAACTTAACTTAAGGCATTTACATTTAGAGAAAATCTCTAAGCTTAGTATTTTATAGACATAGACCACTTTCATAGATGGCTGCCGGATTAATATTCTTTTGTTTAAATTTAAATTAACCCTACTGGCCTCGTTTTCCAGTACAAAATTCAAAAGAATACATTATCTCAAGCGAGGCCAGTAGGGCTAATTTAAATTTAAACAAAAGAATATTTATACGGCAGCCATTTATGAAAGTGGTCTATGAAACATTCAAAATCTACTCACAAACTTATAACCAACTTGTTTTCGTATTGCAGCATTAAAACCAAAGCATACATTTTCACCTTGGCTAGCATTGCGCAGACTCACGTCAAGATGGTATTCAGCGACTCTCAAGGTTTGTTACGTTATGAAATTATTTAAAAAACATTAGGCCTAATGAGTTTACATATGGCCTGGTGCGATGTTCCATTTTAGAAATAAGTTGGAAAAGCAAGCTTTAATGTTAAATTGTGTGTTTCTGTTTTGTTATCTTAGAGGAAACTGCCCGCCTTCTAACGGATCTTGCCGCTGTTGAAACTAAAAAGGGAATGGAGATTACGGCGTCAACTACTCTGAACAAGGAGCGTGAACAGGTAAAACATCACTTTAGTTTAGCCTCAAACGACTCAAGCTTCGGCGCTTTCGAATGCGCTTTGGGTTTTGTAGACTAATGTGAAAAATCTTACATTTTCTTTTCTTCAAAATAACATAATTTAGAGATTAGCTGATTTGTTTTCTCCCCAAAACACTGAATTTTCTGTTTAACCCTTTTGTTTTTATGCTGCAGAGTATCATGATTTACTGAGCAAAGTTGTCGTTTTTTTGACATTTTGTTTCAAAGGTCTGACTCGTCTGAGCCTTCTTGATGCCTGTTCACTTGAATCACTATTTTTAATCCCTGTAACAACTGAAAATCATCAGGAAATTCCCCACAAAACTAGCCCTACCGATATAAGGTACCATTCATATGATATGCTGTCTTCTGTGTTTTCTTCTAATTTTTCAGGTTTTCCGTGTTGTGGCAAGCATTCCACGTGTCAGCTATGTTTCAGCCCTTAATCTGTGCTCATCATACAACACACTCGGCGAAATCGTGAACAGGTACGACCTATATATTTACTTTTTCGAAACCGACATTTTCCATCGTTTTGTGTCGGGGATGTGTTTATTAAAATACAACAATTCGTATCTTAAGGTATTGGTAGGATCTGTCCGTTTTCGGCCACATCCGCTTACTTAAACGACTTAGCCCACCATTCATTTCCCCAAATGCATAAATGAGGTAAGTTTCTAAAGAAACTGTGTTGCTGCGTCGGTGGGAGTAGCAAGGTAATTTGGGTTTTATCAAATGAGTTGATATAGTAAATCGGCCACCATAAAGAATTTCAACGGTGACGTTTTCGTTGGCCCTTTGTCGTTCGCTCTGAGGAAGGGCTAACGCTCGAAACGTCAGCTTTGAACCTCTTTACAGTGGCAAATTTGCTTTATCAACTTAGTTGATAAACCAAAATAACATTCATTTCCCCGCCTACTTGAAAAATTAGTGACAGCCCTGCGTTCGCCGAAGAACATCCTCTGTCACTTAGATCACTGGGCTTAAAATATACCACCTTCATTTACATCATCAAATTCGTAACTGTTTCAAAGGTAAGTAATTTTTTTCCTTCATTCATGCATTTATTCCTGATTTTTACTTCGCAGCACACCGGCGGAGCTGGAAAAAAGAACTCCTGGCATGTCAAGTCCTCGCGCTGCCGAGATTCACAAATATCTTCGACACAAGTTTAACTCCAACATGATATCAGTAAAGAAATAAATGATCAGGGCGTTTAGGTGGCACGGCGCCTCTTTCGGTCTGAAATAAAGAACGTTAAGAATGTAATGGATATATCTCCCCGCTCTTGACAAACAAAGTATGAAAGAAAGAACAATTTATCTAATGAAATGGAAATTATAAAAAATAAAGAGATGTAAAGAATAACTCTTGGTCTTTATTCAGTTCTTTGTCATGATCCTCTCCATACCCCAGGGGGATATTTGAGTCTGTCTCTCCATAGCCGAGGATAGTCTGGGAATGAAGCAATACTTCAAGATGGCGCGAAAATTGTGTAACTTCGCTTTTCTTTTTTGATCCAATTCCTTGAAAAATGATCGTATTCGGAACTTTTGTGCTCAACATTGTCCTGCTCATCATCTTTTTATGGCCGCTCAAGACATGTAACAAGGAAATATGGCGGTGAGTTGCCTTTTGAAGATTTCAAGATCCTAAGCCATTAGAAATTTAGCTCATGTAGTTTTCATCTTTTCGTTTCAACACTGCAATTTTGAAATCGAACAAGGTACTCGAGCAGAGAAGGTGATGGGACTTTGTTTACTACACTTCATACGGTAAGTAAGGTTAGGTAATTCTGTGAACAAACAATTTGAAATTAGGAAAACTAAGAGCTTAGAGCCTTACAGTTCTGGTAGACTTGTTTTTCTGTAAGCGCCCAAAGTGACCATGACCTTTCTTATTGAACAGTTATCCATGAACTTCCCCCAGGATTTGTTTGTGGATTGAATTGCCAATTTGTCAAGACTATTTTTTTCTTTGTTCGCGTTAGATATTTGTGGAACATTTAGAGGCCGTTGAAGAGGTTGAGTGGTGCTACCCAATGGAGTGTTCTCTCAAGAACAAAAGGCAGGCTAGAAAAAAAAATTGATTTTGCACCTTACACAGTAAATCCTGAATTTGGTAGAACTTGTAGTAAACAGGCACTCACCAAAGTCCTCACTTAAATCGAGCCCTTCAAGGCTTTGTATAGTTCTATTTTAACGGAAAGAAGTATGGTTTCAAACGTTGGAATCCCATTCTAAATGTTTTTAGGTTGCAAGAGCCCTGTGGTTTTGATAAGGCATGTTGGTCCACAAAATACAAAAAGTAAAACTGAGATTTTTTATAACAATTAAAAAAAAAACAGCTCATACATAATAAGGAGCCTTGAAATATTTGATTCAACAAAGAAGCAAATGATTTGCAATTGGATGGCTGATGCTGTGATGGGCTCAAACTTGAGCACGTTATCATGATGCTTTTCAGACACCAGCAAGGGTCTTGTGAGTTTCAACTGTTTAATTCAAGTTTCACTGCAGTCTTATCTGAGAACAGAACACTCCTTTTTTTAATAAAGGCTGATAGTTTCTAAAGAAACTGTTTGGAGCTGCGTCGGTTGGGGTAATGAAATAATTTGGATATATCAACAAAGTTGAAATGGTAAATTGGCCACCGTAACAATTACAAAAGCTGACGTTTTGAACGTTAGCCCTTGGTTGGAGCTCCGATAAAGGGCTAACCCTCGAAACGTCAGCTTTTGTAATCGTGGCGGTGGCCAATTAACCATTTCAACTTTGTTGATATATCCAAATTAACTCCTTTTTTTTTTAGTTTTATCAGTGCTATTCTACATTGTTCTAAGCCAGGATTTCATCCTATTGGTCCCATTACAGGAAACATAGATAACCAGGTTAGTTATTGTTGATGGCTTTGATAGCTTGTTTATTTTTTGTTTTCATCGTTGTGGGTTAAAGTGACTGTGTGTTGAAATAATTTTATTGCAATCTTCTCCTGTGTCTCACAAAAGTATAGAGAGGAAATTGATGTTATTGGGTGAAGCCATTGAGAGCTAGCCCACTGGCTCCTCACTGTCAGAGCTTTTCCTGGTCTAAATAGCTTGCATAAGCAGCCAGGAGTATTACTATTCCATTGCATTTCACCACCTTGCTAACATTCATCACATTTCTCCTGAGTCTTAAGGACGGGAAGACAGTTTGTGTCTATGCCCAAGAAAAAAACAAAAAGCAAAAATATTGCAGATGATATCTCATCTAGATCCATTATTAGGCATGCTTACTAGTAGAAAAATATTTAAGAGTGAAATAGTATTTCTTGGGTAAAGCTGATTTTAAATGACTTTAACATTTTTTTGTGTTAAGTGTAGGTTTTGTTTGATTGTCCATTTGTGTAGAGTGTGAGGCACATCAATGTGGTACTCAGTCCATTTTACTATGAGTGGTATCTTGGTTACAACAGAGAACAGCAAAAGTGAGTGTGGCTCTCTAACAGAGTGTGTGATTATAACATTACAATGGATAGAAAATCAGAAAAATTGGCGATTAGAGCATTTTGGATTGAATAATTGATACAGAACCAAAGCAAAGTTATCACTGGCAACAGTTAATCAGAATAAGGGTCTACATACATAGTGAAGAATTGTGCTATTGGATATTGTGCCCTGGATCAGGGAGCATGAGGCAGTGTCGAGATTGGATTAATTTTTTTTTCTTCAAACATGGAACAAACAACAAGCCTACCAATTCCTGACTCTTATTTGAAGATAAACTTCACAGGAACAGTGAGAACTCAAAGTAACAAAATTATGTTTGAATAAAATCGGGGAAAAGAGGACAACTTAACTTAAGTAAGTTTAGTTTATGTATCTGATTGTCAAGGTGCAGCAAGTTTTCAATTCTAGACCAATTATAGAGAAAAATGAAACTAAATCAACTGGAACTGAATTAATGCATTCCAGATAACTTCTTGTACTTAGCTAGACATTTCCAGGTCAAATAATTTAAAAAAAAAAAAAAAAAATTAAAGTGCTGGCTGTTTTCTCTTAACAGTGGAAGTGAAACAGAGTTCAAGCTATGGATTATTGACCCAAAGCATACCTCACAATATGAGAAGAACAGAACAGCTTTGTTTCCATCTCAAGTTAGTCAGACTCCTTAATTGTATTCCAAAATCAACAAATGCATTCAGGAACTTTACAGCCATTGAACCTGGATTTTATTTGTAAGTCTTTACAAAGATCAGCTGTTTGGTCTCAGACTTTTTGGTTTGATTTCATATTTTTTTTGTTGTTGTTGTTTTGAAATTTGTTTTTATGGTTGTCTTTTTTGTGTTTTATCATCTACGGGTTTATGTCGAATTAATTTGATGGCCTGCTCCCAGTTGGCTTGTTAGCTCAATTGGTAGAGCGCTGCACTAGTATCGCAGAGGTCAGTGGTTCGAATCCCGTACAGGCCTGAAATTTTTTTCAGGTCTGATTTTCACTATTGCTCAAATAGTGCTTTACTGCGAAGGATCATGCACATATACGTTTACTTTGTTTGTTTGTTTGTTTCTTTTTTCAGTATTCAAAGGAACTTACAAGGGTTTTTTTTCAACTTGGGCAAAGGCCTTTTGTGAAACTGAAAATGGGTTACAGGTCCATCGAATGGGATGAGTTACAGATTTACCATCAGTCATTCAATACTACACTTGGGTAAATCCTTTAGAATTCAAATTTTTTGTAAATACCGTGTTGTAGATATTTTTATGCACCAATAACACTTGAAACATGTGTTTTTTTGTTTTCTACACTGTACTTTATCCATGCACTGACTGACTTAACATCATCATTGAACAACTGCAATGCTCTCACACAAATTATTGAAGTAGCCTTTTTTTTTGTTTTAGTTCCTTGTTTATTAAACAGGTGAACAAGTAAAGTTTTCTAGAAAATTTTATTTTTCGGGAATCAGACCTTATCTTTGTCCCAGAGGTATTACAATTATTTAGAATCTGTTTGTTATTACCTTTGTTGTAGCTACTGGAAGTTCTCCATAAACAGTTTGATGAATCATCAGATGAGTTTAGAGATAGATGGACAATCAGTTGCTCTCCATGATTGCTTCGTCTGGTTGGTTTTAAAATTTAAACCTCTTAAGGTCCTATAACTGTTGCAAGTTGTCCTTTAAGATCATGTTTTTTCATTTCAAGATAATAAATAAGCTCTCTAAGCCAACTGCATCACTTTAACTGCCTTACATTACCTTTTAATTCCTTCCTTGCTTTTATATCCCAATCACAGCCTCAGTAGCTGATAATTTTATCTCTTCTCATCACTTATTTGCTGGTTGATGTATCTTTAAGTGTTGGGAGAATTTATTGCAAGTCAAAGGGAGTGAGGGGGTGAATAATATTCAGACATAAGTGACTTTGCAACTTCTAGTTTACAGTGAGTCACAATCCAACATGAAAGTCACAATCAAAACCATACTGATTTCTCAGAGTCTAAAAATGTTAGTTTGTCATTATATAGCAACAGACAATAATATTATAATATTTATTACAAATGGTCGCATTTTTCCATCTTTTTGTTCCTTTTGCAGACTTATACAATAACTTTGAAATTGTTGTTGTATTATTTTCATTACTGAGCTCATGTGACGAAGAATTCAGTACAATTTGCTGATTTTAGATTTTATGACAAGACTTACATTTCACATGTTTAATAAATCTCTGCAGGAGAAGCTTTGTGCAACTGCTGATAACCAAGTTTGACTTTCTTGTAACTCATCATCCAAACCAGCCAGAGGTAAAAATTAAGAAATGAGAATTTTTGTAATGATCACTTCTTGTGGACATTTTTTGATCAGTGTTGTTCATTCTCAGGTAGTGTTGAAAGGAGGAAAACAATCCAAATGGTCTCTCATTGTTCAGGCAAGATATATTGATAATAGGCTCTGACTGCTGACTCCCATTGAAATGGTGAAAACTGTAGAAGCTGATATGCTTGCAAAAATACACACATTCCTTGAATTTTTATTTTATTAAATCTTGAACAAATAGTTCTTATTGGTTATTACTTGTAAATTTATAAATTCATTTTCTACCAGTTGAGACCCTTACATTGCATTTTTAGGTGATTTCAAGTCCATTTATGGAATAATGGGATCATGTGTACTATAGGTGGACTCAGTCGACAGTCGACTGATATATCAGTCAACTATCGGTCGATATGTCGACCGAGTCCACCTTTAGTACACATGATCTGAATAATGTATCCTCTCTTTTTGTTTTTACTTTTTTTTTGTCTAAAGCTGCACAATAATGTTTCTGATTGGCAGTAAAATTACAAGCTACTCTCATTTAATTGTAAGATTTATCTTAATTATAGGATCCATGTGCCCCTCATGTTGCGGTCTTCATAAGGTGAATAGCTTTGCATAACCAGTGCATGTGAATGAGGAAAAAATAGAACAAGAACCATAAAGTAAATGGACAAAAAAAAATAAAAACAGTGTGGTGATCTTGCAATCCATACATGTTATGTGCATCAGCTATTCCATTGGCTGCTGTCACGCACCTCATTCCTGCATAGAACTTAGAAAAACTGTTCCGTTATTGATATTTCTGCCCAATTGTATTTTCAAGTCAAAACCACCAATTTAATTTGAAATTAAGAGTTTCCTTGCTGTGATTATTGCATAAGTTTATTTGTTTAAGTTATGTGATTAGATAACTCCCCATTTTGAATTTGATTTTTCTTTTCAAATTGTTTTCTGATTTCAGCTCAGAATTTCTACTCACTCAAGACAATTTTGCCACTGCTATCAAACTGAAGGTGCCATCCACATTACTAATGGTATGCTTTTTCTCAGTAGTTAACCATGTATTCTTCCATTTTGGATTCTAGATATATTCATCTCTAGACCTTAAATCTATTGCTGTGTCCTCAGTTAGCTGGCCGTTTGAAGTTGGCCATATTTCAGAACACAACAAAAAGTATATATGAACACCCTATGAATTTCATGGATTGATTTAAAACTTTTAATATTTATGGTGTGATTGTGTTTGCACTCTACTTATGTTAGCAGTCTGAAGCATTTGTCAAGCTGGCTCTGTTTTCGGCAGAAAACCTTTTGGTACTCTTGGAGTCAGGAAAACTTCTCACATTTAATGGAACAGCACAAACGTGGGGCAGTCCATTGGGTAGGATAACTCAAAATGAATTTAACTCTTTCATAAGTCCCTAAGATATAAATGAAAACAAAGTACCAGGAATGGTTTATATCATTAAGAAATGATTTTATTAATTTATGTCTTAAACTGTCTCAGGACTCTTCAATCTTGACACACTGCCTGCACAAATTGTTTGTCATACCTCTGTGCCTGGAAGTGAGAATCATATCGCAATTTTTTCCCTTTTATACTAGACTTATTGTCAGGTGTTCAGTAAAATGCCATGTCACTTGACTTGCTTCCTTTGTTCAAACCACAGGATTACCACATTTGGGGTTAACTGGTCTGGCATCACACAAGATATGTTTTGAAGGTGCAAATAGGGAGGTATAATTTTTTTTTTTTTATGTGAAGGCTGTCCAAAAAGTACAAAGCTAAGCATGCTTTTAAAGAGATACCACAAGTAAACAAAGTAAATAATTTTCTTTACTTTTATATAGAATTGTTTCATTAATCAGGTATTTTCATTGGTGTAGTCTAAAATTTCCTTTGGATACAATCAGATGAACTGTATTTAATTGGCCTAACTTTAAGTAGCAAGATTATTATCGCCTTTTACTATTTGTCTACTCGATGCCTTTTACTCCTTAATGTACAAAATATTTCTTCCTTTTTTTCTGTAGATCATAAAGAACTTAGTTCTTGGATGGTCAAATGAGGTAGGTCTGCTAAATGTACTATAACTGTTTCCCTATCATTTTGCTCCTCCTGGCAAAATTTCACATTTAGTGTAGTCCTTTTGGCTTCTTTGGTGAATACTGTACTCTTTTAACTAAAAAAAATTCTCTTCCAGAATATATTCTCTATTAAGTATGCTTTTCTTTCTTGCAGAGTGTTAGTGGTAGTTGGATTTACCTCTCAAAAGACAGTGGCATTTCCTTTCAGCAACTTCAGTTTCCTACACAGAACTTCTCTGTGATATCTGTAAGCACATTTTTCTGTAGTCCACTTTGTTCTGTCAGTTGTTCTTCTATTAACTGCTTTTAACCAGTTCAATAAGTGTAACCAGTATATGAATTTTAAATGTTTTAAGTTTCACTTGCAGGAAGGTTAAAGTGTGGCCTGAAAGACTCTACTGACAATAGTGTCCTCCTTTCAATAAACTAAAAACGTCTTTAGCTTTAGCATATCAAAATCAACTCTTGATTTGTGTAGTTTCTCATACTGAGTCCAACATATTTCCAGCTCAGTTTAATACTCTTTACACTGCAAATTTTCCAAACCTGACCCAAACTTCCTTTGGGTTGGTTCACAAAAAATTATGCTTTGAATTGTTCATGAATGATTTGTCTGTCAGGTGTTGCATGTTGAACTGCACTGTTACTTTCCTGCTGTAACTTTCCTCGTAAATACCACAAGTTATCAAAACCAGGAGAAGGTATTGTTACTCATGTCCAAACAATTTTTCTAATGGTGAGACATTTATATTATTTAAAATTTTTGGTCATTTCTTAATTCTATTTATTTGTCTGTTCGATTCTATTTGAACTGATACTTACTCATCTCAGGTTACCCTTGATTTGAATAACCTAGGGCCCATCTCTCAATCATAAGAGATAGCAGTTTTTTCTTTCAATGTTTAGACAGTGTTCATGCAGTATGACTTTATGGAGGATGCCTGGATACAAGAGGAACTTACACTTTCTGGTTTTATTCAAGGTACAGTGATCAGGAAAAAATTAAAACTTGCTTTGAATTTCTTTTAGACCTGTAGTTTTCTTCCCGTGGCATTTAGTACACCTACAAGATGCAGTACATATTTAAACCAATTCCATTCAAAACTACTGGTTAATATAAAAAAAATGTCTTCCTAATTCAGCAACATTTGAAAAGCAACCATAACAAGTGTATTTCCCATCTTCTTACCTTCAATCTAGAGAGATCCTGTATCCATTATTTATTTTTTGTTATTTCTTTAACAGACCCTCCAACATATTTTTCATTTATTCCCCCAAGTACAAACTATTTGATTGCTTGGAGTAGGAAATTTCTTGCCTTTGGAAGACTGAATGAAACAGGTCAGTGACTACATACTCAATAACATCAACTACAAGTCATATTTAGTCATTGAAAAAGGTGACAATTATTTCTAATCATTAGCAAATTGTAGCTTCTTAAGTTTTTAGGTCAGGCAAAGAAAGGATAGTTTTATCGCTAACAACTTTATGGCCATTCATATTTCATCTGATTTCAGGAAGTGTTTTTGTGGTAAAGAGACAAGGAAATCTCACTGTCTTTGTTCTTGATGTCAATGAAACTATTGTGTCTTTGATAACAGGTATAAACTCTAGAGTGTTTTCTTTTTCTTTTTTTTTTTAGGCAAGATATTTCTTCTTTCTTTTAGGTTAAGTACAACAATTATGGAAGAAAACACTGTTGGTTAGTCCACCTATGTTCTCATGTCCCGCTAAAATGTTTTATGTGAAACAGCATTTAATGCTCATCAAATTCAAATGATTTTTTTAGGTGGACATGGTGATTTTGCTGTGCAGTTGTCAAACAAAAGGTTATTTTATGGAAGAGCATTTGTTGAGCATGTGGTTGAGGTAAGTGTTAACTTTTTCTATTTTGATATTTTACTGCCTGTGCAACTTTCTTTTTCAGTTTTGATTTATTTTTTTAACCAGATTTTTCCAGGAGAAGACCCATCTTCAAATTTAACAGTGATGTTTGATATGTTCAGTTCTTTACTGCTGATTACAAACAAAGGGTATGTCTTTGGACAAATGCTGATNCCCTTGGGGTGGGATGGGTGGGAATTGGCCCTGAAAATCCCCTATGGGGAGTGGTCAAGTAGCATATGTATGTGTATGTGTGTATGTATGTGCCTTCAGGGGCACTAGAACAACTAAACACAGAAGTAAAGGTTATGTATGTATGTAAATTGAAGTAAGTTGCTTATCAGAGGAAATCAATCTAAATTGTGAGTGTGAAGAGAAGGATCAATGAATGAGCAATTAAATTAAATTAAATTGTGCTTCCTACCCTTTTCAGGGACAAGGTTACAACAAGAAAGCTGCCACTGGCAAATGAAGTATTGAATGCTGTATTCCCAAAAAAATCATGTCCAGTAAGGATGACTTACAAGCAGTTATGTGTTTAACTTATCGTTTTGATAACTGAATAATTATAATACATAATTTTTGACTGGTGGGTGATAAGAAACTAGCTGATCCCCAAAGGTAAAGTTCATCAAGTGGGAATAAGTATTGGGTTACACCTAAACTTTTGGGCCTAAATCCATGATGATGTGTTAATGTTGCAACTGTTATTGATTATGTTTTTCCTGTACATAGTATTTGAAATTCACCACCAGTATCAATCCAGAGTTGTATTTCATGGACAAGGGAGATGAAACAAAGGTTGATGAACTATTTAAATCAAAGTTTTCAGTCTACAAGTAAATGTGCAATTTTACTTACTGATCAATTATTCCATGTTGTTTTCCTTTAGGTGTGGGCAGCTCTTATTTATCCCAGGACGGAACCCAACGACATCAAGGTATGAATTGCTCAATTTAAGTACAGATCTGTTGGGGAGGGAACAAAGCAGAAAATGCCAAGAAAACCCAGCGGTTCAGTGTGAGGTTGATCACTTGGGCTTCCTCAAAATCAGTTTATAAGAATTGCATGGCTGTGAAAAATTGGTCAGACACATAAGATAACTAACAATCGACCATTCAAGAAAAAAAGAGAATTTTACGGTAGTGGAGTCACAAATGTCTAACTTCAGCAGCCATGTCACTTCTGGTCATAAATTTTGTGTCAGTAATTTTAACCCTGAATCATCTCTAACAAGTGGTTTCTTGAAGTGTAAGGGAACTTTTGTATGTTCTGGTGTCACTGCCACTGCCACTGCCACTGCCCCTCCCCCCCTCCCTCCTTCTTTGGCACCCAATGAGCCAAAAACTGATCTGTTTATATACAAATTCATTATAGCTGGAAATCTCCAGTGTTGATGTCCTCCAAATCACTAGTGAAGATAAAGTTGAAAATCATAAAGGACTTGTGATACTGAATAAGGTAACAACAGGTGCTCATGATGCCCAACAATATTAATGCTATAGTAAAAGCTTCGGGTGACATAACTTCAGGTGAGATGACTTTCAGGCAACTTGAACGGTTGCCAAAGATAATTTCCATTAGAGTTTTTTACTGCAAACATAGGCCTTGCAATGATTCATTGGATAAATATTTCAAAAACAATTCCGTTCTATTGTCAAGTCTCTCTGTTTAATATTTTTTCTGGATGGTAGACATTCACATTTAAATACAACTACAGGAATGGAACTTCCATGCAAAAAAGGTATGTGGTACGTTGGTTGCAAGAAATTATAAATTCATTTCTGTTTTTATCGGCTTACACTTGTGCTGTTGCATGATTATTTCATGTTCTCCTTTTAACCTTCTTTTAATGTCAATGAAAGTTGATTTAATCTTTTGCCTTATTGCATCTGATGTTAGTGATGACACTTTTTTTAGTATTATATTTGACTCCTTTTTACTTTTCTGTCCATTGATCCTAGCTCCTACAAATCAACTGCAATTGCTGTTCAGCTTTTTCCAAAAGTTGGAGAATTGTCCTGTGAAAATAGTCTCCAGGTATTGCCACATATTTCAAAGCTTCTTCCTTCAAAGCTCATGTTCAAAATAAGTTGTGCAATTAATTGGAATCCCTTTCTTTATGATTGTGAACATGTTTAAGCAGGTCTAGAAATGGCTTCTGGTGGTTTCAAGTAGCACTGATCGATCAAAGTTCTAGATAGCTGATTTGTATCAGCACCTGAAGAAAATAATTGAAAACTTAAACAAAATATCCGTGAGTCTAAAATGTGGAAGAGTTGTCCTAAAACAAGTCTAAAAAATCTGGCCTCTATCAATGGATGTCAACAGCTACTGGCACTGTACAAACCAGTTTTTCATTACATTAAAACAAATAATGATCCAGAAAGAGTCACTTCACCAGACCAGTGCATTACTGCAAGTCTCATAAAATCAGGGCAAAACTGACCGCTCGGATTCCTCCACACAGACTGGCCACCTCTCTTCATTGGACTCTGATGATGACTTCTACATAGATTATCAAAAATTATTATCACTCTAATTAACAACATGACGGGCATGTCATGTCAACCTCAACCCTAATGGTGGCACCATAACATATAGCTGAAGTGTCCATCAGCAAAAGCCAATTACAGCATAATAAGAGGCGTCGGCTCTAACCTGCTGTTCTATATAGGTGCTACATATTCATGTTGGGTGTCCGCCCCACAAGAGTATTGTGATCAGGAACTGTACTTCATCAACTGGTGTGGAACCTGTGCCACTGTTATCTATGGTATGGTAAAGAATTAACTCGCTTTAGAGTCATTTCCCACAAGAGGGTATAAAATTTATCCTAGCTTGTTTCTTAGTGATGCACTGCGTATCCTAACTTGCTCTTAATTCACGCAAATTGGCGAGTGCACTTTAAGAAGATGGCAGCTTTGGTTTAAAGGCAAGAGCTCGTGAGAAATGCACTCTGTGGAAAATCATCTCTCCTGAGCAAGTCTCTTTATGGATCACTTTTTCCCTCCTGTTTTGGATTTAGAAATGACATTTGTTTTCTAGTAAGATTTAACTGAGGAAAAGAACAGGGATGTTTGTTGGCTTCAAGGTAATACTGACGAAGATACTTTAATGTTTAAGGATTATGGCCAAAATCTGTGCCGTTTGTATGCTGCCATTTATGGAAATATCAAGCTAGTGGTGGATCTGTAAGTTTCCATCCTGTGACTTTAATTTCATGTATCTAGATGCCTGATTAATGGAGCCAGTGCTTCCTTTGAAATAAGTCAAATCTAAGGTGAAATTCCATTGTTTCCTTATAATCAGTCATTTTCTGCCAACCTGGCAATTTTTTTAATCCTTTTTGGTCATCTGCATGGCAATGCATTGTTGTTATCTAAAAATTGTAACTAGGGATTCATGAAAATAGCTTAACTTTTTAGCATAGTTTTATCTTGGAAAGGTTTTGAAGGACTTAGGTACATACCAAGACACCCTGTTATGAAATGGTACTTGAAATATTGTGAGATTATCGTGCAAGCTTATATTAGTCTTTCGTTTGTTTGCTTGTCTATTTTTGCTTTGATAGATATGAAGGTGACAAGTTCGTGGAAGAAGTGCACACTGATTATATTGTATGGGAAGAAACAGGCAGAACAGACTATGGATACACTGCAACTATGAGTGAGGTACACACATGGAACCAACATAAAGTCTGTTTATAAGCTAAGTGGTCCATCAGGCGGGCACTTAACTCTGGTTTCTGTAGCATGAAGCGACTAGGAGTATTTCTATTACAAACCAACATAATGTTGTTAATTGCAGTGAACCCAAGTGGTAATTAACTAACTGACAGTAGTGATTGCTTGAAGTGCCTATAACCCCAAAAATGTTTTTTGGCCATATTAATTCTCTCTATTGCACTGAGCAAAATGCCACAAAATTTTTTTTGTGTTTGGTTAAAACCGCGATTTTTTTATGAATTTTCAAAGTCGTGGAAAATCACATTTTTTCAAACACGACTGAGGCACGGAATTATCAAGATGGGTCTGGGTCGAGCACAGTTTGTGACGTCATTCCAGGCTTTCCAATGAGTTTGCTTCAAGGACTGGATGAAGTATCTTGACAGATATGCCTGATAAGTGCGTTGTTTTCGGGTGTGGCAACACTCCCAACAAAGAAAAAAGAATAGCATTTCATCCAATACCTTTTTATGGGGCAGATGACCCGGAGAAAAAAAAGAGAAGAAAGAAGTGGGTTGACTTTGTGCAATGGAAGCATGCACATTGGAAGCCCACAAAATACTCGGCCGTGTGTTACAACCACTTCCGAGAAGAAGACCATTCAGTCATGTTTTCTGCCCTGACTAGCAAGAACGAAGGTTGCAAAAAGATGGAGTTGGAATTTGCGTCTTTCCGACTGTTCACGAGTGGAATGTTGAGGAAACGAAATCAGCTGAAAGCGAGCGAAGTGAGAGAAAGGTGAGAAAAATTTACCAGATCAGGCTTTACCAAAGGTTTCATCTTGTTGGAAATGTATAATATTGACTGAGATTGGATCGGAGCGCCACTGCCGATGATGGCCTGGAATGATGTCACTAGCCCCAGTCTCTGGTTCACTCGGTCATTCCAAAAACAAACTTGACTTTGAAAATTCATAAAAAATCACGGTTTTAACCAAACACAAAAATTTTTGCGGCATTTTGCTCAGTGCAATAGAGAGATTTAATATGGCCAAAAACTTTTTTTGGGGTTATTTACACCGAACAATGTGAGGACCTAAATACCAAGTTTTATCCCTAGCAGCAGTTCATTTATAATTCTTTCAGTTTTATTAATACCGTCCATCAAAACACCTTATTTTACTAGTGCAAGCACACACCACAGAGATTGAAATCTGAACATTTACTTTTGGTGACATGTGATTGATTTACGTAATAGTTTATGTTGTATTCAGTGATTGAAATTTAGTTCAAATAACAATCGGAATGTTTCCCAAAAATCAAACTAATATTCGAAATTTAGTAATCCTCTCAGTAATTACAACCATTGTGATTGGTTAATTTACAGTGAAACGTGGCCCATCAGATACAAGGGTTTCTTTAAATTGAAATCTTTTCCCTAGTTTTGAACCCAGAGATATAAGTATCCTACAGACCTTGGTTTTTTTGGTCTGTACTGTAAGTTATGAACCTCGTTTGTGCACGCAGGTATTACTTGGTCTGTAACTTACAGCACTGACTTCAAACTCCCGATAAGTAAGAGGTATGTAGGGGCCATGTTTAGTTATTTTAAGTGGAGATTAGGAGAATAATTCAGTTGCTTTGACTGAGGTTAACTAAGACTGAAACTATTGACTGTTTGAGTTTCATAGGCCAGGTGTTTATCCGAAGCTCAGACATTGAGAAAACTTGCAGAAAATACCTCCAAAGGTTTCAACCGTATTGGGACTCAAAATGTAAGGTTAAATAAGGTACTATGTGTTATGCAACTTCCTTTCCTAGTGGACAATTGCTTATAACAATAATAATATACAGCTGTAGCAAGTTGAAGAAAATAAAAAAAAAGAGTGGACAGAACTGAAATTGTCTCTGTAATCTTATAATATGGTTGGTGAAAAATACAATCTTTAACATACAAGCATAAACGTCAGACGGAAAGGATATTTTGTAACAAAAGATGCTCCTCATTGTTTGTTTGGATGGCTTTTTTCATAAGCCTGGAATTAAGAAAATGATCTTGTATTGTCTGTGTCGTCAAAGATGGTCAAAAAGCTTGTATTTATTTTGTATTTAGTGTCAATCTTTGTGTTTTAGAAATATCAGAGCTGTTTTGAAGCAAGTAACGATGGCAAGACATTTGACGAAAGTCAACCGTATGAAATTCTAAACTCCACAGGAGTCTCTCAGCTGGTGTTTCAAGGTTCAGGAAACTTTCACTTCCAACTCAGGGTTGTTGGAAACCACTTGAGGTAAATAACAGTTGAAGGGTAAACATGGATTCTGTAGACCATTATCTGTTTGATACAGATGCAGAGCGAATGACGAAAACAAACAATAAGATTGTTGGGGAGGAGAAAAGACGAGAGCTCTTCGTGATCAATTTGATTATGTTAAATATGGGTATAATTAACAGATTTGTATTTTCAGTATTATTCCCTTTTTCCCCTAACTTGGAAACAAGCCTCAGCACTGGTCACGGTACTGTCCCTCAATTCTACCACAAAACCAGTGCAACACATTATGAAGCTGATACAGCGAAACTCTGCAGATGTCATTTAATGAATATATTGGTGCTTTCCCTGTTGCCTCCCAAGTTTCTGTGAGCTGACCACATGGTTCTCAGTACAAGTAACAGAGAGGGAAGGAAAAGATTTCTTATCACAGATTGTGTCTGTTGCTGTGGTGACCCTCATTAGCACAGTGCTCCTTTACCTAAGCTTTGCAAAGTATACCAAACAGACACTGGACAGACATCAGGAGGACCAACAAGAACAGCAACGACTGATGGAACTCAAGTAAGATCCATGGCAAAATAAAACAGTTTGTTGTTTAGTAATATAGTATTTCTGACCACTTGCAGCCTAAGACTGAATTACGGGTGCAGTTTTAAAGGCTAAGATCGGATGTCAACATATAAGGTGCCTCTGGCAGCCACTTCAGTCCATCAATCTCACCCTCCCACCCATCCCACCACAGGGGAGGACATCCATCACAGAGTAATTTCATGTGTGGGAAATTAACGTCTTCTACCCCAACCCTGCAGGAGACGGGACCTCCATTTATTCTTCCCTATCCGAGAAGACTAGAATATCTAACCATTTCTGATGTTATAGAAAGGTAGCAAATTCTTCTCAATTATTTTAAGACCTTGAGTGTTGGTCCGGCCGGGGCTCGAACCCTCAACCTCCCGCACAACAGTCCAGCGCACTATCCATTGGGCTAACTGGGTGGCGGTTAATTGGACTGTTTGTTTTCTTCAGTTCTCTACGTTTTATAATTGTTGTTCCTCTAGTCATTTGGATATTGCAAGGTTACTTGGGAAAACTCACAGTAGCCACCACATCAATCAATCAATCAATCAACAACTTTAAGTGTCTAATCTTCTAGCTTGTTTTCAGGCCTACTAATTGGGGACACTACTTAATTTACTTATTAATGATGCATATATATTAATAATACTATAAGATAATAAGATTTAACTATTCAAAACTTCTTCAAATATATACAGTAGTCAATATACTTAAAAATACAATTTTATAATATACTTAAAAATACTTATACTTAAAAATACAATTTTATAAGTGGAGATCTCAGTGACAGGTCAGTTAGCCCATAATTAAAACTAAGAATAGGAAGGGAAACCTTGGCATGACCTGAAAAAACAGAAAGGTAGCCGGGAAACTAAGTAAGCAGGATAAGCAAGTGAACCCAAAAGAGAGGAATAAGCCCTTCCAATCACTGTTAGGTGTTAACCTTTTTTTCCGTTATGTTTGATTTCTTGCAGGAGTCTGTTTTCCTCTAACCAACCAGGAGATAATCCTGAGATGGCACGGCGTCGTTCAAATGGCCATAATGTCCGTCGTTTCTCAGGCACCACCATGCTGATGACCAACCAATTGCCAGAAGAATGTCTGGCAGAAGCTGCTAAAACTCAGCCTGAACTTACTTTAGAGTCTACAGAACCAAGTCACACTTCTCTGAGATCCAGGAAGTCTTTGCATACAAGCAACTGATAAGAAAGGCTTTTTTTTTGTTATAACAGTAGAATACAGGAACAATTTTCAAGATTCACAGCTCAGGAGTTGTCTTGAATTTAAAGTGATGTAGTCAAATAGTGGACTACTAAATCACCAAGCTATGTAAATACATCCTGTTTAACATTCTCTAGATTGCTATGTTGACTTAAAATACTTAACATTTGTAGCATTATTAAGCCAATTCACAACAACTTCATCAATAATGGCATTGCATAAAAAAGAGAGAGAAAAAGAGAAATCTTAAATAGGATTCATTTTATGTTTGCTTCAACTTAGAATCACATACTAAGAACTTTACATGTAGTTGTTACTTGACACTGAATACACTGTTTCTAAAAATGTAAATGTTTCACGTTGATATTTCACTCTCCAGCCAGGAAAATTATAAAAAATAAATAAATAAACAAAAAAATTCAATCACCTTCATGTTTATTTCCAAATTCTAGTAACAATTTACATCATGTGCATAAATATATTTAATCATTTATACTGATATGGTAAACGTTTGTAATATATTAAACCATTTCATACTACGCCAGAGATCTTGTTATACAATAGAGCTCAAAGGATGTCATTAGTGGCAAGGATGAAATCTGTATAAAAACCCACTGCAAATTTTGCCTTGTCTAGCTGAGTAAGGCTGACTAGGTAACGCAAAGTTCATGTGGCATTAACAAATATATTATTTCATTTGGTTATCACTTAGATAATGGAAAATTTTCATCCTTACAGATCATGGAAATCCTGAACTTGTCTCTGGTGATATTCTCAGCTGATTACCAAAAGTAACACGAAACTTTTGTTTCAACTTGCTCTATAATTGGCCTAGAAACCCCTCTCAACCAACAAGATGCAAAACCAAAATCAATCATCTCATATCTCACTCATGTTTCCCTGTTCTTACCAGTTATATTTTACTTTCTTGTGTTTTTTTCTACACCCTCAATCAAGATCCAGTCAGTATTTATTGTCTCGTTGCGTCTATTAAATTTGTGCTGATCTATGACCACTGATTTACCCCACATATCCAACACCCTAAAACTTGAAAGCCCCATATTTCAACACAGTAGGGGCTCCCAGAGAAAATTTCCAATTAGTATATACACACTCAGTGATCTTGGCATTTCAAGCAATCTGATTGGTTCGCTATCTCCGGCTAATCAACAATGTACACATCCGAGTGAGTGGATAATGTGAAAAACAAAATAGCAGGTGTAAACTCCCATTTCGCTAAAGTTTCAGAAGCAGAAATTGCCTTTAAATGGCTTCCTTTTAATTTTGTTGAGATGACTTCGTGTGTATATACTAAAACAATTATTTTCAATCTTGGTGAATAGGGGCTTTTGGGAATATTTACTGCACCGCTTTGTGGCACGGTAAATATTTAGCCACTATTCACCTCGATTTCAAAGAATAATTGTTAATTATTTCAGCAATGAGTCTTCAGTTCAACATTAACCAAGCAGAAAACTGGCACTTGAAGCACGAGTCTTTTACATGACAAGCATCAATTTCCCTTTTTTGACTGGGCAACAACCCTTGAGTCCCTTGAAATCAGTTTCACTTATTTAACTCCTAAGATCTTATTTTCAATTCTCCCTTCTATCAATATTACACAAATAGTTTTCATGAATGAAAAAAAGGTTTAGAAAACTTTTATCCTTAAAACCCAAAAGTGATAAAAATTTTAAACTGCAGCTACTAATTATTTGCACAATCTCAATCAAGAATCAAATTCTCTTAACTTATTTAAAATGAAATGAATGCCAGCCAGAAGGGAAAATTAAGAATCAGCTCCAAGAACTTAGAGGGTTAACTAGAGACAAACAACTGCACTGACCTCTTTGAGGAAAACCAAGCACAGACATAACTTTGAAAACAACATCCTACAAAGACAACTTGGTGTGATTCCATTGAAGAGGTCATTGATTGTCTAATCCTGTAAGCTTTTTGCTTTCCTTCCATAGTTCTTCTGCTATTTTTTCATCTTTGGCCAAATCACTGTACTCAACCATTGCACAATCCTTAAAATATTTCCCAGAAACATCCTTGAGTTCCTCTGCAGCTGCACAGTAGATGGATGTCTGAGCTCCACTGTTCAGTGTTTTAAAAAAGAAATATGACACAAGCCAAAGGAGTGGTCTTATAATCCACATCTGAAGAATTCTAAAATTCCTTGTAATTTCAGTTCCAACAACCCCAGGATGAAGAACATTCACGGTGACTCCTGACCCTAAACAAAGAAAAAGATCAACAATAATAAGACTATATTCACACATGTAATTCACAATATATTGTACTGTGAATCCTCTAATAAACCCCTGGGGGGGGGGGCTTATTTATTTTCAGGTACTTTGAGGGGGCTGACATATTAGGAGTGGGGACTAATTAATTTAGAACTCAATAAAGAACTCAATTTTACGATCTATCCCTCTCAATGAACCTTGTCAAGCCACGTGACACTTATAGCATCACTCTGTAATTTCCTCATACTGTATTCTATCAATGCCAACATGATAACATTAATCAATCAATCACCATAATCAATTTTAAATGACAGAATAAAAGTACAGTACTTGAATAAATTTATTGTACTTACTGACATGGAGTGCTATTTTGAATTATTTTTTGTTTTTTTGAGGGGGGAGGGGTGGGAGGGCTTAATAAATTTCTTCCTCTAAAGAGGGGGTGTTTTAATAGAGGGGGAGGCTTATGAGAGGATTTATGGTACATAAAAATGTTATTACCCATGTAGTAGGAGCAGTAGTCTAATGGTCAGTGCACTGGACTCCAGTTATAGAGGTCCTGGTTGGAGAGCTGGCTGAGTAGGTGCATTGAGTTCTTGCACAAGACATTCTACTCTCACAGTGCCTCTAACCCACCCAAGAGTATTGATGGGTACCAACAAATTGTCAACAAATTGCCTGGTGAAATGCTGGGGGTAATTTTGGGTTGAACTGGGATCCCATCCAAGGGGGAAATAGTGATACTCCCAGTTGCTACATGCTAGAGAAACTTGGATAAGCTTTGGCTCCAGATTATACTTTACCTTTACCCTTTATTCATAATCATGCAAAAATCTTTTAATACATCTACCAGAACTATTTTTAACCCTTTCCCTAGCAAGGAAGTTTATGTATGTCTTATGTTTGCCAACCAATGACCAAGGATGTATACATAATATTTATGTCCTAAAATAAAAAACATTACAGAGCCTGGTTGTTCATGATCACCTGAATAAATTTTCTGTGGTTGTTGAGAAAAAATTCAATATGGCCGCTGTTTGGAGAGGGTGTTTGGAGAGGGTGTCTGGCTGTGGTAGAGAAGGGGTAAAGCCTAGAGGCTAATATCAAAATCAGTTAAGTAAGTGTCAACCACAAAAAAAATTAAATTACCTTTGATTCTCTTGCTCATCTCAATGGTGGAAAGAACTTGGCATAATTTGCTATTATTGTAGGCTTTGATAATTCCATAACCTTCCTTCTTTTGTGATAGGACTTTGCCAACATCAATTTGTGACACCTCAGCATGCTGCCTTGATGACACATTAATAATACGACTGGGTGAACTGGCTTTGAGTTTATCAAGGAGAAGATGTGACAACAAGAAATGACTAAGGTAATTGACTTGAATAGTGTTTTCAAGCCCATCAACTGTTGTACAGTATGGCCCAAAGTAGCCAGCATTGTTTATCAGAACATCCACTCTTTTTTCTTCCTCAATTATCTCTTCAGCAAATCTTTGTACTGACTTAAAACAAGCTAAGTCCACTTTTTTCACCTCTATGTTTCTATTTCCAGTGTTTTCAATGATTTCTGCAGCAGCTTGTAAGCCCTTTGTGATGTTTCTGCAGACGATGATGACCCTGGCTTGTCTCCAAGCCAAGATTCTTGCTGTTTCCTTGCCAATGCCTGTATTTCCTCCTGTTATCACCACAGTTTTCCCTAACATTGTACAAAAAAAAGATTAATTCATTCTTTTAAGAAACAATCATTATGTCTTGAATCATTTCTTGTGGTGGGAAAAATTATTTCCAATTGACAGGTAACAGGTAAAGAGAATACTCAAACTTATGAGGTAGAAGTTGCTATATCTTGATCTAACACCAAATTCTTATAACTGATTTAGAATGAAATGTCTAACAGCTAGAAGAGAGAATTTAACAATCAGATCTTAGAAGTGGAAAGGTTTACAGCAGAAACCTGCAGTACCAGTAAGAAATCCTCACTAATGATTGGGTTTTATCAAATTCTTGAGATTTGTCGTTGTATAAACTATAAGGAATCATATATGGTACCTCTCATCTTTGCCGAACTTGGACAAGATGGCCCTTCAAAATGTATTTTAGTGAACACTCCCACCACAACTGTGCCAACAATTCCAAAGAACAGAAAAAAAGCTCCATGTATCTCAATTTTGGCTTGTTTGTACAGATCATGAACATTAGCTAGATTGAGAGACAAGAAAAAGTTAAGGTATCATTGGAGGGTTTTACACATGACAATACAATTGAATTAATTATTACGTGGATTTTCTGTTTTCTTGGAATTTTTTAGCAAGCTTCAACTAACTGGAAATTAAAAGAGGTATGGATTCAACACCATTTTGTTTAAAAATGATCTATCTGCTGTTGTCTTGGATTTGAATGAGATCCCACTCATCTAGTTTACAATTGAAAGTTCAAGCGAGCTCAGGTGTAATCTGATGGTCTCTCCTCCATTCTGCTACATGTGGTACACTGTAGTGTAATAGTACAGCCATACTACTGTAAGGACATTTCCTAGTACTCAATCATGTTGTAAATCTACTGTCCAAAGTAAAAATAAAATAAGTAATTGCGAGTATTGTATGGTAAATATAATTTCTTGATCATCGAGTAAAAAAAAAGCTGAATTAGAAGAGTAACGAGAGGAACCACTTGACTGACCAATGAATACTCTACATAAATCATAAAATCAACAAACTGTCTAAACTAAGGTCATTTTGGTCAATTCTTTGGCTCATTTTTGAGATCTCAAAAAATTGAGTAAAAGTTTATCAATAATTGAAAGATCTCCTAAAAGACTGTCGAGTCTTTTAATGTTTAATATGTTCACTACATTTGACCCAGTTCTTAGAGTGAACTTGGTTCTACTGTTTCCTTTGACATGAATCCCAAGAAAACTCTTGAAGCTACTTTTGGACACAAAACATTGTTTTATGCATTGAGAATTAATTAGAAGATCTTATACAGAAAGGGCAATTTTAACGAAAAACATGTTGTCGTTAAGATCCACATTCAAAAATGTAACAATGGTTGTACCTTGCGCACATAGGCCACAAGTTGATCGGCAGTGCTTTGACATCCACTTCACGTTTTTCTTGCATTCTCCCCTAGATGCCCAATGGCCACACCTTGGGTGATGATCCTCACAAGGTGCTGCTCCTTAATTGATGTGTAGGAACATTGTGCACATTAGAATGATTATTAGCATCAGTAAAGTGTAAGTACACTTCTTGTCTTAATTTATCTACAATTTTTTTTCTTAACAGGAAACATTTCCATAGGAAACATTAGCTTTTGTCTTGTTCTCCTGACATTCTGCATAGCTTTATCACATTATAGAGCCCAGAAAAATTTGCTCCACTGCTTAAATAGGATTATTGAAGAGGGATATTTTTGTGCATTGTTTGTGTAACTCATAAATTATTAACAAATACTGGTGAGGATTTAGAACCTCTTACATTTTCAAGTCCTTATCTGTTGTGGGACCTGGGTTTCAGAAAAAAATATATCCTTAGATTACTATGATTTAATCTGCTGTAATTTGTTGCAAACTAGCCCACGAATTTTTCATTAGTTTTATTATTCTCAAAATATTCGGACAAAACGTACGTGTCTTCTGCTTCATTAGGTATTATATTGCACATCAATGTATTTAAGGTCTTATCTTAATTAAGCTTCCCATTTCATGACTTAAGTTTAACCGATCATATCTATTATTTCATATTTTCCTTAGTAAATTTTCTGTCTTAACGAAATTCCCATGAGTCAGCTGTCATTAACATAATCTGTAACAGCTGCAAGCTGCATGGCTACGGCATGCTACTAAAGAAAATACCGATTGAAAACAAATACAAGGATTGATCTGCTGGTAAAATATACCAACTCAAATCTTCACCACAAAAATAAGCCGGATTTTAGTTAAAAGTTGAAAAAGGAAAAATTAGTTTTTGAGGAATTAACGCTTGTAGATTTATGGCCGAAACAGTACTAAGGCGGCAGTACTTCATGTCAGATCATGTTCATACAATAAAGTTTCAAAGACGAAATATACAGTTAACACTCACCAGATGCATATGAAAATATTTCCGAGAGGTAGATTGAAAGAAATAATAAGAAGATCACTTCCCATCTAAGCGCCATCACCATGAAAACTACTGCTAACAATAATCCAGGCGTCGACAAAGTGAGTAGGGATTGGACACTACATCTTCCAGCTGACTGCATACATTTGGGTATCTGGTGACAAAAAGCGTACAAATAACGCCTCTTGTTTCAAGGTGTACCAGCTCAAAAATATTTCACGGTTGCTTGTTTAGAATATTTTTTTCCTATAGCCATGTCGTTCAGGGGTGAAATATATTTCAACTAAAAAAAAAAAATCTTTGCGGCGATCTTTTTGGGATGTCACGTAAGTCCTTGAGGGAAGCGTTGCGTGATACCCTTGTAATGTGTCGGCGAAGTCAGCAACGCAAGAAGCACTGTCATAGGATAAGCAAGAATTTCCGAGGTTACACCGGCTTACCTGCACTGCAGGTGCATGTCTGGCGATAGACTTTCTCAAAGTCGTTCGCATGGTTTTCTGTTGGTAGGACTCGCACTACGCGCTACGCGCTCAAAAGCGCGACTTAATTTGTGAGCAAGTCTAGTCTGGCGAGTGAGAGGTAGATAGACCAAATTTCGTGAAGGGAGTTTTTGACAGTATTGATTACGGACAAACATTTCATCAACCCACCGTCTCCAGTGCAATGTTAATAGCGGTAAACTAATCAACTGTGATATCGAAAGATGTTTTCTGTATAAACAACTATTCTTCCTAAACCACATAACATGACCACAAGCAATGTCTAAGACAAAGACAGCCTTTTTTATAACAAGGTTACCATCTATCTTCTACTTCACAAATACAAAACTCTTATGTAATATGTGTGAGCTAAATATCAAATAACACTTCAAACTTAATAATCTGTTCATGTTGTCCTTCAGCAGCATTGTTAAAATATAAACAAACTAATCGAATGAAGCCTTACACTGCTGTAAAAAGTAAAATGTTTTAAAAATCCGAGCTTTCGCCGATCAACGGCATCATCAGGGATAAGATACATCATAAGGCTTGGATACATCTAATGAGTTCGAGACTGCTTTCTAAATGAGCTGGGACATTTTTTAGCATCAGTTTGGGGCGCTGGCAAGAAGCCATGAAATGCGTTAGGTGGGTCCATTGATGTTGGATACGATAGGTCGTATTTTAACATCGGGACCTGCTATGTGGGTCTTGACTGGATGGTAGAATCTGGACAGGTCTGTGTTTGACGCAAGGAAGCTTTTTTGGACAAAGGGAGGAATTTTATTTTGTAGGCAGATTTTCTTCCAGGCTGTGTTAACTCAGTTACTTTCGACTGTCTTGGCTGACACGCGGGGTACTTTTTGGTAGGTGTTGGCATCACTGAGGTGATCAAGGGTGACTTGGGTGTACGTGTCTTGTTGTATGACGCAGAACTCGGTGCCTTTATCGCTGGGAAGGTATACGTAGTTCTTCTCTCTGAGTTCTTCAATAGTTTTCCTGTCTGTGCCATCGATGTTCGACCATTTCTTTTGAGGTTGTAGTGCTTTGAGAGTGAGGTGGTGTTTATGATGAATTCTCTGCAGCTTGTTTTCAAGTTCGTTGTTAGACTGGGGTCTGTAGATGTGTCGGGTTTGTAGATAGGTAAGAAAATCTGACTCTTGGGGGTTTGACTCGCGGTAGTGTTTCCATCGTATTTGGTTGGCTAGTCGGCAGGATACAATATTGATACCCGTGATTCTGTTCATTTACTTCAGGAGAGTGGCTGAACTTGGGGCCTTTGGATAAGAGGTTGATTTCTTGAGCGTTAAGGTTACATGTGAGGTCGGTGACTTGCTTTGTTTCGTTTGGGGAATGAGCGTTGTTTGTGTCAACGATGTTTTCGCAGTTGGAAGTTGTGTTTATTTGGTCGGGTGGGTTATCTTCTGAGGTGGAGTTACTGGTGTTATCGTTTCTGAGGTTGTCCAATAGTTTAAAGAACATTTTGCTATGTAGATTTCTGGCGGTGTTGTATGCCAGATATCTTTGGGAGCGGATTTGGGATGCTGCCTCGGGTGAGAACTGAGATGTTATTTTTTCACCGAGTTGTTGTTGTTCGTGTTGTTTAATGGCGATAACTTTCCGAAGTGCTCTCCTGCTTTCGTTCAGGACGAAACGTTTGGTTCTCAGTTCTCAATCTCACTCCAAACTCAATTAAAGTCTGAAATAACATGCGGCAGCTTTCAGAGTGAATGCTTAATGCAGGCCACAGCTGGGAACAGAATTGATGAAACAGTTTTCTTTCAAGAAGGCCCCTAACAAAAATTTGCCAAAGTTGTTTAACTTAAATAAGTTAAATATAAGGTAATAATTACAGTAAACCTTACATAGCTTTATGTCTAGTCAGGTTGATTGATTGATTGATTGATTGATTGATTGATGATCGTTTAATTGCATACTCTTGCAGCTAAGGCTGAATTGCAGTATGGGTCAGTATTACATAGGTACAACATTAAATATACATCTTATTGATATCGAACAGTAACAAAATTATTAAGTCTGTCTGTGGCCCCTCTATGCCGATCTACTCGAACAATACGGGCTCGCAAAGAATAACCATGATGCACCTCTGTGGTGCAAGGAAGGATGGAACTTATAGGTTCAGTCCTCCTCGCCCCAGTCATGAACCTGGAACACAGTTCAGCTCTGCGAACCACGAGGGGTTACAGCCGAGCCTCACACTAAGGCCAGATCCATAGTCAAGACAGGGGAAGATTATCCTAAGTGCTTTCCGTTGTACTGACTAGACGAGCTCGTTAAGGTGCTCAGGAAGATATGCCCAGGCAGGGGGTGCGTACTCCAAGACCGACCGTATTAGGGAGCAATAAATAAGCACTAAATCAGTCCGGGGGACTCCTGCCTTCCCAAGCATCCTAAGAGCATAAAGGCGCTTGCTCGCTTTCTTCTTCCTAAGATATGCAATGCCTATCCCTATAACCTACTTGAGGGATAATGCATTGGAGACATGAAAGAAAAAGCATGTTACTAAGTAATGGCTTAATTGTAAGCAAGCTGTGATTGGCAACTGGAGAATCAGCAAAGGTTCTGACCCGAAGCATGAAAGGTCAACATGCCATCAGAGACCTCTCACAGCTTTGCTGCTTGTTTAACAGTGCCATATCTAATGAGAGCCTGGTTCCTAGTAATGGTCCTTAAAAAAATGTACATGCACAAACTAGAATGTCTAATATTTCCAGCTTTGTCCAGTGATCCTCTCACTAACTTCCCACAACTTCTTTGCCAAACCAGGATCTTTTGCCAGTTTATTGCCTTCTCTGACTTTACAATCACTGTAATAAAGACCCGAGACACGTTCCAGCTCTTCTGCTACTGAACAGTAGATTGATGTCTGAGCTCCTTGCTTGCAGTCTTTGAAGAACAAATATGCAATCAGCATTACAAATGGTTTAATGAATGGATTCTCCAGAAAATTATAGTTTCGCCAAATGTCTGAATTGACACCACCAGGATGAAGGGCGTACACTGTTACTCCAGTTCCTAAAACAAGAGAAGAATCATAAATAGGAGGCATCTTGATACCTCATTCTGATCCTTAGTGACAATTGAAAACAAACTTAATTATTATAAGTTCCCATAGTAACAATCTCCATGTGACTTGCTTTACCACCATTCAAATCTATTCAATTCTCTTCCGAGACTTTAAGTGGAACCCTTACATTAACTTTACACTACAATTTATAGAGTTCACTTTCATTCAAATATGGATCATATATAATTTTGCCACATATGAGTCTGTGTGTGTGTTTTATGTTTCTTGAATTTACTGCCACATATTTTAAAACTTATGAAAGGTGCTCTGTCTTTGCTAGTTTCTGCAAAAGAAGTGCACATAAGAGTAACCATTACATCTTGAATTTCAAAGCCATGCAGGTCTTTAAGACAGTAAAGGATTTCTGGCTTCCTCTGAGCCCAGAAAAATAAAAAGCTAGCTACATCAATGTACAGTACTGTTTTAACTTCAGACACGTCAGATTGAATCCAGGCTCTAAGTTTAATGTTCAGCCAGTTGACTGTCTGCCATAATTGTTCTCAAATCCAAAATCAATGAGATTTTTAAGACCAAATTTACTGATACACAAACTGTCTGGAAAAGGACTATTCTATGTTGCAATAATATTGGACCTGATTGTTCTGACCACACCCAAACATTTTACTCACCCTCCAGTCTTCGACTCAGTTCCTTTGTGAAAACCACTTGAGCCAACTTTGATTGAGCATAACGTGCAAATCCACTATCCAACTTCTCCTTGGAAAGTTTAAAATCCTCAAGCTGGAGAGCAGCAATCTTTTGTTCGTGTGCCAGGGATGAAACATTTACAATGCGACTTGGTGCTGATTTCTTCATTTTGTCCAACAGAAGTAGAGTCAGAAGAAAATGGCTGAGATAGTTTACTTGAAAAACACTTTCATATCCATCCTTGGTCAGCCTATATGGGGCTCCCAGTCCAATCCCTGTAAAATAATAGGTGCACATATATTCTCCATACTATTCTTTAAATATTTATAGTACCAACAGGGAGAATTTGTTTTACAATCAAGAGTTTGTCATGTTAGCAACTGCTTCCTTTATTCTCATAATACTAGAGAGAGAAATAAGATGTTAGCCATGTATTCTTATGGAGTAATGAGTAAGTGATTTTCATCAGCTTATAATTTATTTATTTAGCTTCACCTAATTTCTTAGGTAGAGAGACCACTTCAGCCGAGCCAATTGCAGTGGATTCCTTATTATCAGAATCAAGGCCAGACCACAACACTGGGAGCTACATTCCCTACTCTATGTGATAAGTGTGTGGGTTCTTTAACGTCCCCTCCTAACCAGCACAGAGAAGATGAAGGAAACAGGGCCTACAGTTTTTTGGCCTTGTCCAAGAAGACTAGAATATCAGTCTAACCATTTGCAGATGTCATAGCAAAGGCAACACATTCTCCTCAGTTATTTTAAGACCCTGAGTGTTGGTCTGGTCTGGGGCTTCATCTCCCACATGGCAGTCTGGTACTCTACAACATGAGCTAACCAGGCAGTGTTACTTTTTAAACAAAGAGTTTGCCTTTGAATTTTTGTTTTCATATTACAATTTTTGGGTTGCCAGTCTCTTACTCTTACTCACTCACCTGCATTGTTCACAAGAATGTCCAGTCTTTCTTCTGTTTCACTGATGATCTTAGCAAAGGCTCTCACAGACTCAAAGGAATTCAGATCTAAAATTCTAACAAGGACTTTATCACTTCCAGTCTCAGCTATAATGTCCTTTGCTGCATCTGTGGCTCTCTGTTCATCTCGACAGGCCAAAATGACTTTGGCACCCCTCTTAGCTAGGTCCAAAGCAGACTCCTTTCCTATTCCAGTGTTAGCCCCTGTTACAATAACAGTCTTACCTAAAAAAGGCAGAGTTAGCATAAAATTGAGTTTCTAAACCAAGAAAAATATTGCCAAGCTCATAAATTGCCACCAGCCATCAAACAGCCACAATAGGGCTTGTCATTTTGACCACCAATTGACTTCGAAACTGTATAGCTACATCCAGTCAGATCGAGACAGAGGAAAAATTTCCCGTGACACTTATGATGAAATACTTACACATGGCAGCATGCACTTTTGAAGCCTTTGTCAAACATTAGTGCGGGATTTACTCAAGGATTAGTAAATAATTATAACCTCCACCCCAAATGGCCATCATCATCAGTGCTAGGCAAATTAAATGATTTTTTTTCACCATGTACTCTTACCATCTCATCTTGCCTTGCTTCTGCACACTCCTCCACCAAAGTACCACTTAATAATCACCGCCAGACAGACTGTTGACGCTGTGACAAATAACATTCTTGTAGAAATACTTTCGGCGTTAAGAAGCTCGCCTTCTGTGATTCGAAACACATTATCAATACTTACCGTCATTGTATTGGTTTTGCACCATACAAAGATTCTCACACTTAACGGAAAAACAGAGAGCCGATGGACTTAATGATAAAATTGGAGAGTACTCGATTTTTCCTTTTTCTTCCGTTAAAAAGATCGAGGTCAACGAGTTTTCATTTGACCGATATCTGAGATACGGTAAGAGTTTGCTACAGAAATCTAGAGACTGACTCGGTCAATGCCAAAAAGTGGTTTGTGTTTTGGCAGACAATATACGTCCAGTTGAAATTTGCGTTAAACAGAGCACCTCGAGACAAAGGCATCCTCCTTTCAGCAAACACGCGCATCAGTATTCAAACTCCAGCGAAAGGCAACACGAAAGCCCGAGCTGTGCAGGTCACGCTATGCTCCAGAGATACCATATTTTCATTGGGTTAGTTTTAACACTGATCGGAGCACAATTTGCGTGTAGACTAACCTTTCTTTACTTTTTCACCGTAAGTTACCTCAAAGCAGCATGAGAGCGAAAGAAACACGGCGCAATCAACAAAATACACCGCCATAGTGGGATATCCAGGGTCGCTCCACGATGCGCCCACGACGTCGGAGCCAGTCAGAATCGATAGGCACTGGGAATGAGAGAAGTCACGCCTCAAAATACTCCTAAATACAGACGTTCTCAAGTTGTTTAGCAAGAGTAAAATAAAGTGATGCCCTGCAATCTCAAGGATTTTTTGGCCAAAATTGAGATAAGCTGTTGCTTCCTGGACACCACTTCTCTTTGGTTCCTCTTTTTTTTCACTCTCCACTTGAAGCAAGTTAGGGACACTCCATTACTTGACCTGATAGGGTATGGGCCACAGTAAAATATTCATAGGTCGTGACTTCTCTAATTGCTCTGATTTAACTGTCTATAACTCAATGATCAAGATAGCTTTTTTACCATACAATACTCACAATTACTGGTACTAATTTTACTCTAAATACAAGGACAGTAGATTTAATGAAAGCATAATTGAGAAATGCCCAAATAGTGGTAATGCAATACACTACAGCCACCAAACAAGGTAAGAGATGGGTACAAATTCAACCCCAACCAGCTAAGTTTTTCTCCAAATTTAGTGATAAAGACATCCATAATAATTGTTATTGTTTCTACAAGCAATACAAAATGTATCTTTTAAACACTCAATTTGTTTCCTGAGTGTAGTTTGCTTTTGTTTTTTACTGTCATGTAAATGCCTACAATGTACATGTTCATGCCAATTAATTGTATGTGGCAGTGACCAACTCCAAAGCTTAAGCTACTTTGGTCACTGTGCACATTTTGCTTTTCACTACTTGTGTTATTCAATTTGCCTGTCTCTCCTTGTTAATGTACTTTAATGTAGAAATAATTATTTGTAAATAGTACAAAATAACTAGACTAAAGATATAAATTCTTATCATCCTCTATACCAGTAATTGGCATTTACTTATAGATTGCCTATAGCATGTAACACTTCTACTGACACCACACTGTATACATCTCCATAAATGTAACTAGAGAAATGCACCAAAAAACAAGTTACAAAAATGTTCATCATCAAATTCTTAATCTCTCCAACTTTCTCCAGTGATCCTCTCACTTGCATCCCACAGCTTCTTTGCCAAACCAGGATCTTTTGCCAATTTATTGCTCTCCTTGACTTTGCAATCACTGTAATAAAGGCCCGAGACACCTTCCAGCTCTTCGGCCACTGAACAGTAGATGGTAGTCTGTGCCCCTTGCTTGCAGTCTTTGAAGAACAGAAACATCACCAGCATTACAAATGGTCTGATATATGGTTTCTTCAAAATCTCCAAGTTTCGCCAAATGTCTGATGAGACAACACCAGGATGAAGAGCATAAACTGTCACTCCAGTTCCTAAATGGAGACATAAAACTAATTTATCAGCTGCTGTGGCTAATATACATCAAATCACATCCTTGTTACTCTCATTAACATCTGCCAGTACAACTTGAGAATATAGTTTTTGTTACTGATTAAAATATAATATACTTGCACTTAAAGTGAATTTTATGTTGTAGAAAAGGATAGCAAGTCATTACAGTCAAACATGTGGTAGCAACATACTATTTCTATTTTTTGATGGTTGGTGATCTGTTCCCCACAACATTTCACTCACCTTCCAGTCTTCGGCTTAATTCTTTTGTGAACACCACCTGTGCCAACTTTGATTGAGCGTAGCGTTGAAATGGATCAAAGTTCTCCTTGGACAATTTAAAATCATCAAGCTGGAGATCAGCATTCATTTCTTCATGTGCCATGGATGAGACATTGATAATGCGACTTGGTGCTGATTTCTTCATTTTTTCCAACAGAAGTAGAGTCAGAAGAAAATGGCTGAGATAGTTTACTTGGAAAACACTTTCATATCCATCCTCAGTCAACGTGTAACTTCTTCCAAGTCCTGCATTGTTCACAAGAATGTCCAGTCTTTCTTCTGTTTCATTAATGAGTTTAGCAAAGGCTCTCACTGACTTAAAGGAGGACAGGTCAACAATTCTAACAAGGACTTTATCACTTCCAGTGTCTGCAATAATCTCTTTTGCTGCATCTGTGGCCCTCTTTTCATCTCGGCAAGCCAAAATGACTTTTGCACCCCTCTTGGCTAGGTCCAAAGCAGTCTCCTTTCCTATTCCAGTGTTAGCCCCTGTTACAATAACAGTCTTACCTGTAAGAAAATGGCACAGTCAGCAAAACCTTGATGCAACTTTATAACTGATTTCTGCTCAAAGGTATGCAGATTGTGACAGTGACAGATTTCATTTCATTTCTTTTTTTTGGTTTTCATGATGCAAAATAAAGGAGTGCCCACAAACACTGTGAAATCAAGAGAAAAAGCCTTTGATGATGAGTTACAACAACTCAATTTGTGGAGAGTTGAAAACAAACCTGTAGAGTGCATGCTTTCATCATTATTATTCCTGCTTACATACACTCTTACCATCTAATCTTATTATTCCTGCTTATATACACTCTTACCATCTAATCTCGCCTTGCTTTTGCACACTCCTCCACTAAAATGCCACTTCATGAGTGCCACCAGACAAAATGTTACTGCTGTAAAAACCGCCAGTTTTGTAACAGCACTTTGGGAGATCAATGGGTCTGATCCTTGGGTGATCAATGAAAAACATGATTGTAAGAAATTGAAATTTGATTACACTGTTGATACAATACTCATGGACAACAAAAAAGCCTTTTGAGGTTAAAAATACTTTGAGATGCATACATATAGAAGATGTTGTGTCTCAAATTTTTTCCATTTTGTTTTTAATTCAAAACTAGTTTAAAATTGATCCTTCAAGTATGTGGTCCCAGATCTCTAAACATTATTGTAGACAATTGACCACTTTCATAAATGGCTGCCGGATTGATATTCTTTTGTTTAAATTCAAATTAGCCTCACTAGCCTCGCTTGAGATAATGCATTCTTTTGAATTTTGAACTGGAGAACGAGGCCAGAAAGGCTAATTTAAATTTAAACAAAAGAATATCAATCCGGCAGCCATTTATGAAAGTGGTCAATTGTCTACAATAATGTTTAGAGATCTGGGACCACATACTTGAAGGATCAATTTTAAACTAGTTTTGAATTAAAAACAAAATGGAAAAAATTTGAGACACAACATCTTCTATATGTATGCATCTCAAAGTATTTTTAACCTCAAAAGGCTTTTTTGTTGTCCATGAGTATTGTATCAACAGTGTAATCAAATTTCAATTTCTTACAATCATGTTTTTCATTGATCACCCAAGGATCAGACCCATTGATCTCCCAAAGTGCTGTTACAAAACTGGC